TAGCCCCGGGAGAACGTGACTGTGCGCCAAGTCGCCCAGCTCAAACAACTTGCCACCCATGTGTCCCACATCCTCGAAGAGCGCTGCGGGTACCTGCAAACCAGACACCACCACCACCAAAACGTGTACACGGCGCCCCAGGCGCATTCGCAAACGTACGTGGTGTGGCTAGTGACGAGATGTCTGTTTCGAGGTCGTGGGGTGTGCGATGGCTGTTGGTGCACGACAGCAGCTACGATCTCACGGCGATGCTCCAGGTACAACATGCCGACGGCGCAGTCGACGATTCACAACACGCTGCTCGACTTGCTCAAGAAGACAGAAGCAACGGGCAAAACGCTGCAGCAAACGCAGCAGAGCATGCTCAACGCAGGGCGCCATGCCCCATCATAGAAAAAACAGTCGTGTTCAACACGCCTCCCCTGGCAGTGGAATGTAGCGAGGAATCGTGTTGTTGTCGTGATATATATGCCACACTCGCTGCGCCATGTCTCATCGACTAGACGACACACGACCCTCGCGTGTGCATGACTGGGGTCGCCTTGGCAAGGTGCTTGCCCAGCGTTCTTGTGAACTGGTTCTGGTCGATGGTGCCGAGCGACGGGACCCAAGATGGCACGACCATCGATGGCACGAGCGCGTAGATGCTGATCACTTGAGTCGCGGGCTCGTGCGAGTCGCATTCTTGCGTCGGGGATCGCTTCCTGGTCAGGCGAGACCCCCGTCATGAGAGACGATGCGATCGCGACGGACGACGTACTGGTATTTCACGACGGTGGCGTACCCCATCAGGGCAATCGTGCTAGGCACCGACACGTTGGAGCAGTCGGACCCGGGGTCGACGGTACGTACCTCGGTTTGCAATACGTTCTGTTGCCGATTTTGATGCCGTTGGACGGCTCGAGCGGCAGCGCCGTGATCAAATTCGGCAAGTGGAGCGTCGGCAGCAACGAATTGTTGCGGCACCACGTGGTCGAGACAAGCCACCTAACAGGGTCCACGATCGATCGATTCCATTCCCGGCCACTCCGTACTCGTCATGGACAAGGCGTCGATAGATGGACGAGGTTGCGATGGAGAGGGCAAAACTGCCGCCGACTGCCGTCGCAATCGTCTCGAGCAAGAACGTCACGATCGGCGGCGTGCCTTCCGCCACATACGATCCACTGGGCCACTCGGCGCCATTGACTGTGAACGCTAGATGGGCATGCAGCATCCGGTGAGCGCATCGTGGGATGGATGGGTCCAACCGAGGAACGCCGGGGCCGAGTAGAACTTGTTGAAGGCATCCATAAACAGCTTGTCGTGGCACCATGCCTCGGACAGCCAGAAGATGGACGACGCGAGGAAGACGGGCGCCGAGTACCCCACACACGAGTGGAAAGAGCGGACGGCGCCCAAGGCCGTGTCGACGATGCTACAAGTGGCGCACGTCAAGAGAGACACGTCCGCGTTGCCCGTACCTCAGCATCATGATGAACCCGAACGTGAAAAAGTTGGCGACCATGACCGACGACAGCGAAAAGATCTTGAACCCGTTGACCGAGTAATAGTAGATGCGCGACACATCCATGTAGAGCAGCCCTGGCATCGAATTGACCACGATGCACGCGAGGAGCCACTGGCGACATGGAGGTCCGTCGGAGGTGGGAAGGGGCGGACAGAATTGCAGTACCTTGCGCCGTTCGAGCCCCGACAGGACTGTGTATTTGAGCACGGGCTTGCCGCTGAGGAGGCCCTGGAGGCCTGCCACGACGCCGCATGACGTCATGACGACGCCACAAGCCGTCGTTACCTTCAATTGTGATCAAGACATCGCCCGCGATAAACCACAACGACAGGATCGACGCGAGTGCTTGCGTCACGATCACTTCGTTGGCGTGCTCGACGTTGTGGCCACAGCTCCATCCCGGCACGATCGGCAGCTTCGAATGCTTTCCTACGCACACGATAGCAACAACTCCATCACCGACAGCGCTGACCTTGGCTCCATCCTGTGAGCCCGAGACTCTCTTTCAACTCGCTGAGTTCTTCCACGACCGTGTCGCAGTAACCAGTCACGAGGTAGCTGGTGCACAGATGACGTTCCTGGAGTCCTTCCACGCTGCCTACCGCTCGCCCAGCGGTCGCGACGTGATAATGTAGTCACGTCCCAACGAGTCTGCTTCGATCTTGCCGTCCACCGTGATCAGCATCCGCTTGACGTTGGCGATCAGGTTTTGTGTCGTTCCATCCGAATTGACGTAAGTAAATCGTGTCTAGGCAGCCAAACCATCATGTGCCCCGCTTCTCCAACGTCGCTCGTACCATGGTCGGATCAAGGTCGCTGTAGAGCGTTAGAAAGTAGAGACCGTCGGCGTGGTGGTCTCGGATCTGCGGATGTTCAGCAAAGGCGGCGGGCGCTGTTCAACGGAGGGCTTACCGTGGTCTCCAACATGGCCATGCCCGCCACGTCCTGCGGCGCCGTCGGCAGGCATTCGGGAAACTTGTCGTAGCTACTTCGAACCCCTGAGCTCTCGAGCGCCATGGCAATGACGACGTTGGAATCGCCATGGTACCCTGCAATCAACTGGAGATTCGTCCACCCGACGTTGCTCGTGCCGCCAATGACGCATGACGTGATAAACAGCATTCCTCCCGCTACAGCACGACGTCATGCCGCATGGGGGTACCAAGAAGGCACATATCGCACCTTCCATGAGTTCCGCGTTCCATAGCTTGGCCAGCTCTGTCCCCATGGCCGCGAACGGCGTCGTGGGAATGATGCTGGTCGTCGCCGTGCCGCATCTACTCCACAATTAAGCCGCGACGAGTTGCATGCGCCTCGTACGAGTGGAGACCAGCCGACGTGAGCATGCACGACTGGTCGTACGGCGCCCAAAAAAAAGTTTCCGCGAGCTGCGCGTTGACAGTCACGACTTGGCGATTGAACATGCCCTACAACCGCGATCGATCGCCCGCCGTCGGGCCAACATGGACGTCGATGAGCGGTCGTACTTGCGAAATGAGGAGGACGAGCAGGAAGATGGAGAGAAAGATAAGCGCGAGGGTACACAGAAACATGACGAGCCCAGGTAAGACTGAGACGCGCCACGTTCGCACAACCTTGACGGCACTCAGCCGTCGCTTCAAAATGCTGGACCGGCCAGAACTACGGTAGCTCGCGGTGGAGTTGCGGCCGGACCGTCGGTCGCCCTAGGATGCACTCAATTCCGTGAAACAATGGCATGGGCGCCGAGCCACGCTTACAGGGACCACTGCCGTTGCGGGGCTGACGCTCGACATGGCGGATCCACACAACGGGCCTTTGCTTTTCAGTACGAAGTCCTCGCGTTAAAGATAGACGCCGCCGAGTGCCGAGACTGGCTGCTCTGGTGATGCGTATCGTGGTGCTATTTTCTCTATTTTCTCAGCCAGTTATACATGGAGCGGCGGTTTCCTCTCCATTGGTATCGGATGGATGGCAGAAACAATGCGCTTGAAAACCAGGATGCTCCAATCTTTGCACCTCTCCACATCCACCACACCAAACCGGCAGCTTGGTTGCTCATTTCCTATTATAGCATGCCGCTGTCGACACATAGAAGGGACGATGACACTCAAGACCGAGGGCGTGCTGCAACTGGTATCGTGCTGATGCTGGTGCCGCCACCCGTCGAGTTGAACGACGGACGAAACCTGACGTCGACGACAATGAGGTGGTGGACGCCACGGCATGACATCGTTCACTATGTTCGACATCGAGCAAGACCCATCGACAGGATCGCTCTTTGCCGTCGGATCGTTCGACCGGCACATTCGGCTGTAGCTGCGGTACTGCACGCACGAATTCAAGAGGTGCTCTCGAAATCGAGATATCCGGATATGACCATTTTATCCAGATACCTATGTACAACCATTGGCGCTGCAATTTCGTCGGTGACATTCGTTTGTGTTGACACTTGGAAGCATGGCGTCCTTCTTCCGTCGCTCGCTGCGTCAAGCGCGCCATGTAGGCATGGGAATGGCTGCTCTGACTGGTGGGAGTGCGTGGAGTATGACGTCCTCCTGTGAGACCATCCCATCATCTGCCGACCCACCGCACCCTGCGACGGCGCGCCGAATGGAATTCGTTGGTGTATTCTTGGACGCCAAGTCCCAGGACGCGTTGAAAGCTCGTTTCCAAGCCCTGCATGGCGACACATCTGCTCAATCGAGTCTTGTTCTCAAGTACAACCCGTCCAAAGAAGAGCTCGATGCGTTTGCCCCCATAATGGGCAAAAACGTCACGGTACCTTCCACACATCGTGCTTTCTTGTGTTCAAGTTCATGACGTGCGTGCAGGTCAAAATCCAAGCTGTGGCACAAGACGAACACGCGCAAGCTGCGATCGCGTCTGTCTCCACCGAGCACGGCGACGTGAACTATGCAGTGGAGTGCCCGCACATTACGGTGTCTGTCACCGGCGAGGACGGGTGCGGCCTTCATTAGTCTCCATTTGTCGTCCTGCACACTCACACGACTTGTTCTTACAGGTACACGCATGGGTACTCGAACGTCCTCTTGGAGCGCCTTCAGGCTGCCGGCCACTTGAGCGTCGACGACTCTCCTGATGGCCTCCATGTTGGTCTGTCAACTTTCGAAGGCCCGTTGCCATCGTTCTCGTCCAAGCTCCTTCCGCTTTACAAGTACACAACTCCCACACTCGTGCATATAACCCGTCACCATGCGCTCAACTGGTTCCCCCATGTCTAGCCCGTTTCCACCCACGAACGCGTCGTTGACCATCTTGGCTGACGACGCGCTGGAGCTGACGGGAGTGCTGTGCACGTCGTCGACGTATGACGCGGCCACGCACTCGTGCGGCCCGCCGCCGAAGAAGGCAGAGTGCGGCTTTTGCCTCTTCATGAAGGCCGGTCCATGCGGCGAACAGTTTACGACGTGGGAAGCGTGCCTGGACCAGTCCAAGAAGGAAGGGTCCGACTTTTTGACCAAATGCGGCCCCCAGACGCTGGCGCTTCGAGACTGCGTCGACGCCAACCCAGAGTATTACAGCGTTCTCAACGGCGACAGCAACGACGATGACGAAGCTCCAAATGACGTCTAACACTCCATGAACCACGTCATGTATCTTACTGCTCGTCTCGGACGGCTGGCGCCGTCGTGACTGCGTGCACACATAATGGCATCCATCGCGCCATGTCTTCGCAGACAAGGGGCATCGATCGCATGCAGCGGTTGGGGTTGAAGGCGGCGGCGCGAGTGGCGAATGGGATTATGGTACAACCATGTTGAAATGAAATGCAGTTAGTCCTCACTGACGTCGGGGTGGGGCTCAAAGGTAGTGCTGCTCCTTGCAACATACGTCGTGCGGTTTACATGCATGCTACCGCGGCGGTCTGGCGTCCATTGCATTGGAAGCTCCGTGAGCGGCTGCGGCTCAAGGATAACGGTGTCGGCGGCGCTCGTGTTTGATGCGGCGGGGATGCGGCGCGCGCGCATGACGGCCACGACCACGATCACGGCCAACACACACGCGACAAAGATCTCGATTTGGACGGTTGCGGTGAGCCACCCCGTCTTGCTGGCGTCGTTCGTGGAAGTCGCACTCAGCACAGTCAATGTGCCTGCCATCCCAACGGCGGCACCCACGGGCGTGCACACGTACTGCGCAGGCGATACCCCGCTGCCAAACCTACCGACAACCAACGGCATTAGAATCGGTCGTTCGGCAATAACTTGCTGTGGCCGCGATCGTACTTGGCTGCAAGAGGCTGCCGGATCTTGCTGCATCGCGTCGCGTCGAATGTCGGCGCGGGGGAGCACCCCGAACAAGAAGCAGCTTGCTGGCCACTCGCTGATGTGGGGTAGTACTCGTATAGCGTGTATTTGGACGTGCCATCGCGTGAAGTCCATCCCTGCCCGACCACCTACAACATTCACGGCCCCAGGGCAATCAGTGTCGCATTCACGGCCCGAACGCCACAAGAAGCCGTGCGATGGAGACGAAGAGGTTTGCCGTCATGGACGACGGTAGCAAGCACGGTGATTTGGATACAAAGGTACCCACCACGTCGGCAATGCACCCCGCGGCAGTGGGCCCAAACACGGTGTTGTACTTGACCCAGTACGCGTCGAGTGTGTCCGAGGCGGCGTTGTACACGTACGTGGCATCGCATTGCACGGGCCCGCACGTGACGTCGTTGCAGTTGCGGACGCGCACACCGTAGCCAGGAACTTTGGAGTACGCCTGCGGCATGCAAAGTCAGCGACACGATAAGGGTCACGCGGGGGAACTAGAATACGGCGTCGTGTGGACGAACAAAACAGGACCTTTCGAAAGTCAAAGTGCTCGTTGAACGCGAGCGAATGCTGGGCGCACGCAGCACACGCCGACCCTGGCAAGCTCCCTCCGCCAAGAAAAAACGGCATCGCGTCGATGCCTTGGGCGTTCATGCTAAGCGGGTCGGCGTTGCGCTGACAAGCCGCGATCCGGCGAGTCCCGGGCAAGTGGACGACGTGCTGTGCCGAAACGCCTCGCCAATACCACTGCCAGGAGAGAGGCGTGCTCAGTCGCCGTTCGCCGTGGGTACGCTCAAATGTACCTGAGGGAATACCGCGAGCTGCTTTGTTTGACCAGGACCGGCCTCGAGCCCAATCATGGGAGCGCCGTTGCCAGGAGTAACTCGCTGGCACGTGGACATGATGGCAGGCACGTTGTTCGTCACGAATGACGTGTTGAGACCGGGAACGCAAAGGGGTTGGCTTGGCGAGTCAAGGATAAGTCGACCTTTGTCGCAGTAGAGCCCACCTCGGGCTGTCGACGCAGAGTATGGAGGACACAGCGATAGGTACGGAATGCAGTCGGCATTGTTCCACCCGTTGCTCGACGCTACAAACGGCGGCTCGCACCCGTACGTACAGCGATCACCGCTGGCGCACTGCTGCTCCATGGCGAAACCTGCGTTGGTATTCCCGACGCTTGGTGCAGCGATATACACGAGGTTTGGATCGATCGCCTTGTCGAGCGAGCAATATAACGGCGAATTGGTGGGAGGGATGTAGCACACAGACGTGGGGTCCATTGCGCTGCACGTGTACACCAGGTTGGGAGGTGGTGTCGGCGTGGGGGTGGTCGATGAACCACCATGAATTGCGTTCGGTGATAATGGGGCGGGAGACGAGGTGGACACTTCCCCCGACAACGTTGAAGGTGGCTCGGGCGTAGGACCCGACGATGGCGCTTTCACACTCCCCTGGGTCCCGCCTTCGGCATGGTCTATAGTCGGAGCGAACACGGTCGAGTCCGTCGAACTGTTTTGCGACCGAACCGTTGCAACGATCGTTGCCACGACCGCAAAGAGCGCGACAAGCGTGATGCCCGCTGTGAGGACATACCGTTTCCGGCGGTCTGCCCACGCCGCCGCGAGGATCTCATGCGCTCCCATCGCCCCGCGCCAGACTAGTTGAAATGGTGTGGAAGGCTCGATGTCGTTTCGGTCGTTTCACATCCGTGCATGTCAAAGAACGCGGCGGTTCCACAGGCGCCTTGTAACCGCACTCACACCATTTCCAGGTACACGAGACTTGATATAGTGTAAGCCGGTGATTGTATCGAGTTAGACTGTACTACAGTAGTACTAGTAGTAATGACGCAGGAGACCCAGCGAGATCCATATTTAGTGTGGAGGTCCAGCCCAACCATATATAGTGTGCGAATGAAAACGCCACCATTATCGATGATTGTCCTATAATGTCGCCGCGTCCAATGCGACGGGATTAAGAGGACGCTTCATGGGTCGCCCGGTAAGCTGCCGCCTTCAAAAAGACACTCCCACCCGAGGCCCCACGCTTCTGGGTCCACCACAGCATCGTCCTGCCGCAACTTGGACTGCACAAACCGTGCAATCGTGTGTTGAAGTTCCGGACATGGCCGTAGCATCTCCACGGTCAAGGGCTCGCGGCTAAATGGGTTCACGCTCGCCGACAAGAGGTGCCTCTCGATCATGGACCGGTCTACGATGTGCCCCGATGGCAACTGCACCGGATGCAACATCAGCGTGTTGAGAATCGGATCCAGGTACTCGTCAGGGACGGGGCCGAGGCGCTCGTCCATTTGCTCGTGCAGCGCCATGACTTGCTCGGTGTGGTCCACAACTTGGAGGAACTTCTCGCGCCACGCACTAGTGAGCGACGGATCCGACCGCAACAACACAGCAGCTCGTCGAAATCGCACGGACTCAAACCGGCCATCGGCGGCAAGCGCAGACACAAATCGAGATGCGAGCTGTCGCTCGAATCTGGTCATGTCTTCCACGGCCCGGGACTCGCACGCCTTGGCCTCGAGTGCCGCGAGGGCCGACTCTTCATCTGGTTCGTTGTCAGCTTCGACTTCATTCTGTCGTTCGTCGAGCGGCGGTGGCGGGATGTTCGGCGAAGGCGTCCCGCGCGACATGGCAACATCCTTTTCCAGTCGAAACAAACACGAGCTCAACTTCCACCGCTGGTGCACATCGAGGTCACCAATCTTTTCTTCCATCAGGATTCCCGCGTAGTTGGAGAGCTTCCACGCTGATGCTTCGGGGCACGAGTGATGGAGTCCCGCGCATCGGACGACAACCAAGAGCGCCTCGGCCAGCGCGAGCATGCCGTCCTGGTAGATTTCGGCCGAGAAGCCCCACTTGGAAGGATGCAGGTGTGTCTCGAGGGTCGCCACGACGAACGACAGCGTGGAGGCGGTCTGGTCCACAAGCGACCGGCGGCACAGCACAGCGCGAAGCGGCGGCACGGCTACGATCCACGCCAGGAGCTCCAGGCACTCGATGAGAACTCGAAACGTCGTGCGCGCCTTGTTAAAATGCAGCGCCATGTACGACTGCATCATGGCCGGTTGAAAGTACGCGCCAGTCGTCGACGTCGGGCTGTCCTGCAGCTCCTGCAGCCGCCGCATCGCAAGCACTTTTGACGTGGCTTCGTCCAGTAGACGAGTGATGTCGTGCAGTGCACCGCTAAAGAGGAGACCCATCCCGTGGTCGTTGGCCGACCACCGTTCCGCTTCCTGCGCCACAAACGGGGCATTCCACAGCCACCGAAGCAACAACAGCGTCGACAACCGCGCCGGCAGCAGACCCCACGACGTGTCGCCGCCCGTGTTGTTGCTGTACTGGTCCAAGTCGTTGTGAAACCGGAGCAGATTGTTCACGGCCGATCGGCGCAATGTCGGACGGATGGCCAGCACGTCGTACAGCACCAACGCATTTCGAGTCGAGACTTTTACTGGAGCAAGGGACATCAGCGCTCGGATCAGTTGCACACGGACATGGGGCGAGTTCGTCAAATGCCGCGACCCGACGAGCGTGAAAAGCAACGTCACGAGCGGCTCGACGGCGGCAGGGGACCAGTCGACGCCGTCGCACGGGTGGACGCCTGCGACATACAGGACGTCCGCGAGGTTGCATAGAACGGCTTCCGGAACCAAAGCGTACGCCAGGGAAACGGCGCCGTCCCCTTTGACGTCATCGGTGCGTTCAGTTGAATAACGCATCAAATGCAGCAGCCACTGCGCTGTGCGGGTGTAGTGGCCAAACAAGAGGCGGAGAAATGCCGGCGCAAACAGCTGCACTTCCATCGCACTCTTCGTCTTGAGCAGTTCGTCGACGCGCGTGGCGTTCATGGTGAGGGCATGGTGGTGGTGGTGCGTCGACCGAGTGGACCGGCGGCCTCCGCCTCCGCCGCTGCCTTGGCTTTGCTGCCTCGTTCGCGTTTCCACGTTGCATAGGGCTTTCAACTGCATGCACTCGCGGTGCACCGACACATACCGCATCAGCGACAGCACCGGCCCCACATGCAGACTCTTCATCGCGACGTACCACCACATGTCGGGTTGGTCAGCGCGTGGCGGCAAAAACTGCGGCGGGTACATGCTTTGCGGTAGCCGAATCGTACTGGGTGTGGAAAACGAAATCGTGGATGTGTCCAGGTAATGGTGACCTGGGGCGTGCAACCGGTGCGGATTCCCATTGGCATCGGCTTCTTCGGCTTGGACGCACGCCAAACACGCCTGCTGGTCGCACTCGCTGCACTGGAGGACGCCCGTGCATTCACCGGCGCACGTTGGGCACCACGTGGACGACAGGTTTGGCTCGACAGCCACGATCGGTTGTTTTCGAAATGGCCAAGTGGTCACTTGCGGCAGCGGAATGTTCAATCGAAGAAACACGTGCGTCGGGGGGTGGTCCAGCGGGGGCGGGATATAGTGGTGGGTCGAGTGGGAGGGATGCGACCCGTGCTGTGGTCCATGGATTTGCCTTCGGTGATCATAGCACGACGCGCACAAGTCAAAGTCGTCGCAGTGGATGCATTTGTACCGAACACCGACAAAGTCCTTGTCTTGGCAGTGGTCGCATACTACGCCGGCATGCCCGTCGTACTGCGGGTAAAACAGCGGCGCCCGCGAGCCCTCGTCGGCGGAGGGAGGTAGGGTGTGCGACTCCAACTCGACCACGTGGTTTGGTAAGATTTGTGTCAAGTTCGCCAAGGATAGGCGCCCCGGTCGAGTCGTGTGCCACGTTACGTCAATTTGGGTCACGTCGTCTACGTACGCCGTCGTAACCTGCAGCGCCATCGCCGCGACATTCAAGAGGAATCCGTCGGATGCGCATTCGACTGGGGAGTGCCCGAGCCGGCGACGGACGCTGTTCGCATCAATGCTGCACGTGACCCAGCACATCATGGCTTGTGCGATGGCACCGCCGTGGCTGCAAAACGCGCGGACAACTGCGGTTTGCATCCCTTGCACGGAATCGAGGGTTGTGCGCACGGTGGATTTGTCGGCGGTCGGACCGCATAGGCAGTCCCCAGGGACGATTTCGTCGGGGAAGCTCGTGTGTCGGAAGAACGGACCGAGAAACGACGCCATCTCGATGGACTTGCCCGTGATCACGACCGGAAGCCACTGCGACGAGTGCACCAGCGCCGCGCAAAAACTTGACGAGGATGACACCATGTCATGCAGCAAGGTCAGCAACGGAACGAGCGGGCCACCCGCCGTCAATGGGAGTTCCAGAACGCGGTTACGAAGGGTCCGCGCAATGTCGAGCGCGACGACAGACATGTTGGCGGCACACAGCGAGTCCAGTGCATGGGTCCAGAGGCCATCAAGCAGGCGCCGCGGTGAGGTGATCGTCGCGGATGTGATGCCATGAGTGCGCCGGGGAATGCAAGGTACTGTACCGGACGACAACGAGGCAACGGGAATGCGCGTGAAGCACTCCTTGCACAAATTGACATCGCAGCCAGCACATCGGTAGACGACGTCCGTCTTGACCAGGGCCACGCGATGGCAAATGGAGCACGGCCACGACGACGTTGAGGAAAAGACGACGGCACCGTTCGATGGAACGAGGGGGTGGACGTGAAGAGGGTGCATGTGGCCGTACTCCATGGAAGATGCGAGAACACTTGTGAGGAGGATTGTGGCGGCGTCGACGGGGCCATCGTCGTGGTGGCAGAGCGTATGCACGTGCGACAAAATCATCGTGTGTGCCATGGCGTACCCCGCAGCTTCTGCCGCGCTGTGCAGTGATTCAGACAAGTTGTGCGATGCTGTTTTCTGCTGTTGTTGGTTAATGCGGTCCATGCACGTGAGGAGAATGTCGACGAGGTGCACCACTGCGCGATGTGATGGTTTCCACGGATGGTCGGGGCTGTCTTGGGTCAACTCACTGAAGAACTCTGTGGAGCGTACGGTCACGGGTCGTCCTGGAGTGTATTGAAGGGCCGACGAAAGCGGGCGGAGCGACAGCACGTCTTGGAGAATGCGGGACTCGGTGTCGAGTGCAGACAGGAAAGTGTGATGGAACGCAGAGGCAGCGGGTGACGGTGCAATCGACGTCGGGAACGGCAGAGCTACGCGGCTTCGCATCGAGTTTCCCTTTCCTGAGAACATGGCAAGGCACAGGTTTGAAGCGTCGGCGGCGGCAGTTGGGGCCGGCTCGGACGACGCTGGCAACACAAAGCAGTTGTTTCCGCGCGATAGACGACGAATTTTTATTTGAACGGATTAAGTGGATACAAATACAAAGGTTATTGCTCTCGACGTCATTAAAATCAAGATGGATCATGTTTTTATCATCCAGTTTGTTATCCATCGAATCGATGCGTCTGCATGGACACCACCGCCCGACTCTGAAACGGCGAACGCGGGTCCTGTCCGAACCATGACGCGACGACGACGCGATGGAGACCGATGCGACGCCATCGACATCGCTGACGGGAAGAAAAGGACTCGACGACGTCCCGTGGGGCATGTTACGGTTCTTGTTCCATTCGTTAGGGTGCTGCGTTTGCCCTTGCCTCGGCCAGTTCTCTGTGAAGCTGTTTGTTTTTCTCGACTGCCTTCTCAAGCGCCGATACAAATTTGCTTGTTGTTTGTTCGCACTCGTCCATGAGTTCGTGCCGCTCCACCGCTGCATTTTGTTCCTACCAGCGAGTGAGACGATGAGGACAAGATGGATTGGAATGCACTGGACGATGCATTGCTCACAATGTACGCGGCTCGCTGCTGCGCTTCCGCGACTTCCGCGTTCAAGGCCACGTTCTTTTGTTGCAATTCGTTGATCTGTCCATGGAACTGTGAGCATTCGAGTCGTGATAGAATTCCCTCGACCTGTTGCAGGTACACTTGATTTGAGAACTGGAGCAACTGGCGCTCTTCGTCGTGGGTCTTAACCCACACAGCGTACTCGCGTAAACGCTTCTTCAATGCTGGAAGCAGCACGCTCCGCGCATCCTCGAGCACATCTCCGTCATCCTCTTGGAACAGCTGCTCTTCCAGACTGTCCAACAGCGGCATGATGTCGACGCCCGCACGATCGTTGCATTTCAAGTCGACATCTTCTCGAATCGCATCGAACTTGGACGTCACAGTCTAACGCGCCAAATGAGCAATTATCGCATACCTTGCAACTAATCACTCACCGTTAGCTTGGACGTAAGGTCCGAGATTTGGGCCTTCGTCGAGGCATGACATTGTCGATCAAATCCATGAACACGTACAGTAACAGATCCGATACTGTGTGTTACCTCGTATTTGGTGCGCAATGCTTCTGTTTGCTCCTTCACGAGGAGTTCCTGCCTTAATGAAATCTGTGCTAACGTAGCCTACGTCCATGTCACAACCTGCTAGCACAGTGGAATGTACCTGGAATGTCGCTGCCATCGACTCCACCTGCGCCGATAACGCAGTATTTCTCGATTCGAGCGCGGTGTTGGTTGCAAAGAGGTCCGCGTTGCGCGCTTCCAAGCGCTTTACATGTGTCATGTCGACAGAATTTTGAGTGACAACATCTTTCAGCGTTGCCTAAAACGGTATATCAACATGGGAGTTGTCACGACAGTAACGCACCTCCAGCGCCATCAGTCGCTTGGACAAGACTTCGTTCACAGCTTCTGAGATGCTCTTCGTAGAAGCCTATCATGAGCAATTTGTAGGCAGACTTGCGAGTTGTGGCATTTTTCAAGGTAGCAACTCACCTCGTTCATGTCAGAAGGCAACGACGCACTTGCAACGATATCTTTCAAGGAGATGCTCGCTTTGTTTGGTCTACTTGCAGCAAGAAACTGCGTCAGACGCCGTTTCTTGGATGGAGTGTCCACGGAACCGTGCAGCCCGTGGACGTTTTCCTTGTCGTCCGACGTGCTGCCTTGGCTGCTCAATGCATTGTCGCTTGTGGCGGGACTGCCGGAGTTGATCCTCTTCGGGCTCAGTAGTCTTGGCTTGGCTCCTCGTGCAGGGAAGTTTCCCGCTCGGACAATTGTCGCGCGGAGGCTGTCTCGCAGATTCTGTAGCTTGATTCTGTTTTCTCGGTCTTGTTCCAGCCATTTCTTCCGACAACTGAAGTCGGGTTCTGTCATAGCGCTCAGATGCAGATGTCTCTACGGAGTTACCCTCGCCCGATTTGCGCTTCCCCGTTGGGTCCTTCGCTCCAGCGCGTATTGCTTGGCGCGCTTCCGACCAAAAAAGTGCGGGGAGTTTGAAATTCGAAGCGCCTTAGTAACCGGATGCCACAATGGATTGGCGGAAAATGCGATTAACCGGATTCTACGATCAACTATGGGGAGGGGGATTTGTCGAGCGGAATTGCCCCTGCCATGTAGCGATGCTGCTGCATGGGTAGCTCCACCAGGCCGAGCCTGGCTGCTTCCTCATTATTGCTATCCCCTCTCAAACGGTGCATACTTGTCAGAAGGCATTGGTATAAGTACGTGTGGAAGCACTGAGACCGAACTCGAGGTTCTGGACGCAAAACTCGTGTGTACACCGGACCTCGTTGCGCAGCGATGCACCGTAATCGACGTAGGGTTTCGATTGCATATTGTTTTCGCCGTATTGTCCCGATCGATGGTCCATGAACAGTTAGAGCAGTTAGAGGACGCCGCACCATACAACACTCATGCTTCTACATGCACCGGTACATTTTTTCGTATTGGTTCTGAGGCGCACACCGTTTACACGTCCAACCCCAAGTGTATTAAGTGTCGGCGTCGAACTGGTTTGCTGGCTGGCTGAGTCACCGCGTTCGGCGCGAGCGACGCGACACGCTATGTTACCTACCTTGGTGTGCATGTAGGACCCCGTGTCGTTGCAGCGATCGCACCCAAACGACTACGCACTCATCTTGACAAGGCGCCACTACCAGCGGGACGCGTTGGTCGCAGCCAACAAGTCCTACATCTAAACCTGTGTGTCAGGGACATGAATCGATTCAGTTTGTATGGGGCGATTGCAATCAATTATCACCTCCAGCAGCAATTTGAAAAACGTCGTGGAACGATGGAGGGGAACCACGAACGGAGGATGTCGAGGACTACCTCGCATGAACACAGGCGGCGGGAAGATGACGAGCTGCAAGTTGCAATTCCATTACGAGAGTGGCAAGGGGCACAGACGGCGCGATTTTGTTCGCTTCGCGTCGGCTTGACTGACGTGGCGGGACACGTTGTTCGAAAACCACAGTATTTCACCTAAATGAAATGTCTGCTCTGTATCCTCGGTTGATGGTCTTGCCCTAGTTTCATTCCCGTTGCTTTGGCGAGTAAAAGGATGCTGGGCATGCGCTGGTGCGGCGTATGTGTCGTGGCGGTCTGGTGCAGCCGACGCTGCAACCGATCCCACCCGTCTCATTGAGTGCAGAGTGGATGTACGATGTACCCCGGGCTTACGCCTACTTTACAATACAGTTGTTTGTACTGTGCCAGCGATTGGGGAATGAGAATGTTTGTGGCGCCGCCACGTGCAATGACACACAATTCAACGACGTTCGACACACAGAAGCAGCCAAAACGGGGCGATGACGGAGGTGGAGCCGCTGGCGCTGCTTTCCCTTCATCGAAGCAACCTCATTCGACTGAGCAATTTTCCGCCGGACGCAAGTCGATGGATCTCGGAAGCTGCCGCGGTCAGCTGGTCTCATGGCGTTTCGTCGATTACATCGAAAGACTCGGTTGTTGAGATCAAGCTCGGCGGTTCCCCGTGGTCCCCAAGCGGCGAGGACGCAGTGCATTCAAGGCGTCTCATGCTCCACATCTTGCGCTCATTGCTCATGCAAGGGTATGGCTTGTATTGCGCGACAAACATGAGCAACACCGCCGGCAGCAAAGACGTCCTCATGTTTGAGCGCACCGAGCCGTTCACGCCGATGATGTTGGCTATCTCGATCAACCAGCACGACGTTCTCCGAGTCATCGACGCTCCGTCCGATGTCGTGAAGCGTGCCACGACTTGCATCAACGAACACTACCAGGGCGGCAGCGTCCGCGTTTCAGAGTACACCCTTGGGTGCACACAATTCAAGTTATGGAGCTCCCCATGGAATTCCGGACACACGCCGTTTGGACGGCTTATAGTCGCCCAACTCTTCGCACACCTCCACGCAATGGGATGGCGGCTGTACGGAAGTGCGGTCATGCAAAACACGTCATCCGAAGGCACGATGGTGAAAGATTCGTGGTACTTCATTTATGAGCCAGTCGTCCACGTCTTGCCCGCCGCCGCCCCCTCGAAAGGCCACGAGTGATGTCCGAGTTGCCACGCTCGCAATCCATTCGATCCCATCGTTATCTCGAACACCATCCATCATGCTCATGCGTCTCCATGTAATCCCTGACGCCGTGCTCGACTAACACAACAGTAACACACGTCCCTTTCTCCCAACACGTACGATGTTGCAGAACATCGACATGGTGCTCGCCATTTACATGCAAGTTCGTGATGGTGGCCGCATCTCGGCCTTGGAGGCATATGAGAGACACGTGTCGCCAGCAGCGCGCGGAAGCAACAGCATCGAGTCTCCCTACGACAAATCCATCAAAAATGGACCACACCTTCCTGTTGGAGAGATGCGCGCGGGATGGAATATTCGATCACGTTGTCACAGTGGTGTGAGCCATAGATGCCACTTCCCCCGAGAGTGGAGCTATACTGGACAAACCACGACTGTTATACGACCAGACGATGGCAGCTCGATACTCTACGCGATGAACAGCAAGGACTTGAGCCTTATAACAGCACCTCGTCTGCCATTAATAGGTGAAAGTGTCGACAAGTTTGGCCACCACCGTCGTCACGGCGACAGCGTTAGGCACGTACTTGAACAAGAACGAGTCCTTGATCCGGTTATCTCGCCTATCCACCTTCATCCCAGTTTGCTGATGGCGCCGAGGAATCGACAGCCACACGCTTTGAGGGGTGCAAGCAAGTGCGCCAACACTCAGCGTCCGTTCGTACGACAGCGCGAGTTGTCTCCTTTCCACGGGTGCCCAGCCAGCTGAAATTCCGTCGTGCCTTGGGCGCATTTTGGAACATTCCAGCACGCCCTAGAAGGTGAAGTGGAATTCGAGGCACGCCATGGTCATGTCGACAATATCGGCGGGGATACGGATGAGCCGGAGGAGGTTATGAGCGTTTAAAGGAATTGCCATCGACCATGATTCACGTGGCCCGAACAGAGCACGTCCTTCCCGACCTAGTCTCCTGTGATGTCGATTCCTTGGTGGAGAAAGTACCCACGCGTTTGTAGCCGTTGAGGGATGTGCACCATCACGCGCCGGGCGTATGCCGTCTCGATATTTCCGGATGGGGCCACCGAACGCAAGTAGAGTCTAGCTAGTGCGCGTCATGGTCATGTTTGGACAGCCAGTGACCGCTGCGTGAACAACCCAGTTCACTGCTTCGAACGGAATGCTGCGGAAGAGAAAGAGAGTGGCTCTGGAACGTAGTCAGGATCTGGTACAGCTGCCCATGTGTACTGGCACGACGACGTGAGGCCACGCCAGGAATTTGAGTTGCGCTCGACCCCCACGGCTCCTCGAGCTTCCCAGCGATCAGCTTCTGATTTCCCTCCGACTTTGCAACGGGGCAATTTCGATCATTTCTACAAAATAATATTATAAGAAGACAGAGTAACATGCATATACCTTGCCTGCCAATGTTTGTAGCAAATAATACTTTTCAAAGTGGATATTCTGTTAAAACGGAATAATTGATGCCGTTGCAAAGCTGGAGGGACATCAGTAGTGTTTAAAGATAACATGTACAACCGAAGTGTCGATTTCGTACATTTTGAAGTCATGTTGCTCAGTGGAAACTTGTGAAAAACGTCGACATTGCGACACCACATTGGACATGACCAAATTTGTGAAAAACCTCCAATAATGGTAAAAAATGTCCTTATCCGTGATAACAAATCCAGTTCAAATGTGCCAATTGGTGAAAAACTGTGAAAATTTGTCGAAATAGAGACAACTCAGCGTGTGAAATTAGCCTTCATGAACGACGGCCAGCCTAAGTGCAGTTTAAGGCAAAAGACAGAGCGTGAACAGAGGGAGAGCTCTACCACCCCGTCGCAGTCCATGAAGCGTCGATGAAGCGACCGGCTGCATGCAGACTGAGTGCGCGAACTGTCGTGAATGAAAACATTGCTGTGGGTTGCATGACTGAGATGCATTTACGCACCTACGCACTTCGCACCACCGTGTGAAAGGGTCCAAGCCAACCACGGAACGATCTATCCCTCCGACCAAAACGAGAGAGCATCAAGACAAAGTGAAAAACGATGCCTTCTATCGAATGAACTTCCCGCCGATGCAATACCTTGTCTCTAGGCATTCAACCCGCTTTTCACACGGGCAAGAATAGGCCCCAAAATATCCATCGTCCATGCATCGAATTTTTGGTTAAGCCAGCATCGCTCGTTGATGGTGGATGGGGGACATGTTGAGCGCAAGCTTCAGTGGTTGATTCACACCAACTACCACTGGTGGCCCCATCTCGGTGACTTGATCCTAAACAGAACGTGCCATACGAGTCGCCGTGGAAGTGCGCCGAAGTAAGGAACTGAACCTGCGCTGTTTTGGTGCAAACAATCGCTTCGACGGTCGTGTCTGCGGCCATCAGTGCCACCGAAATGACGCATCGAACTTGCCACGCTCGGCGATCAAGCCACGAGATATTCCTTGGTAGCACGTCGTGGCTATACACACGAAGCGGCTCTTGGCCACGAACCACGATCTACACACGAGTCGAATCAACGTGGTGTTTTTTTTTCGCTTGAGTTGAAACAGCACCTTGATCGCGAGACTGGTGGGGTCGTCGGCGCCGTAGACAAGTGCGTGCACTGGAACTTCATGTTGCCACCCTGGTACACAGGTTGCCACGGGTTTTGGTGGCAAGACCTGCCCAGATCCACTCAGATCGGATATCGTGCCATCGTACTTACTACTGCTTGAATCACGTTGCCCGTCTGCGCTGGCTGCTTCTGGATGTCTTTGGCTGTCGCCGACACAAATAAAGCGGACGGCGACGGGGAGTCGGGGGCGGTAAATTCACGAATAAGCGTGAGATGCTGCAGCGTTCGCAATCGATCGCGGAGCGCAGCATCGAGGCCAAGGAGCTGCGCCGCACCACGGCCGATTTGACGTGTCAGCTGAAACATTTTCGCTTGCAGCGCCGGGGCAAGTGGCGTGGGGGCCGGCAATGTGGTTGTGGCAGCAGTTGCGGGCGGCCAGTACAATGCGGAGGCAGCTGCCAAAAAGTCAACAGTTCGATTGGCATGGAGCAGGTTCTCGACTGCGGAGGCGGCAAGGACCGACAGAAGGGCGGCGGCATGCGGGCCATCCGACGGCGGATTTGAAAACATGTAGTCCATCTACGGCAATCACCATCAAGTTCACATCAGGGCAGCCAACCGAATAATGACCTGCTCGGCAGTAAAGGCAAACGGGCGCGGGACATGGCACTGGAGCAACGACGCCAGCGACAGCGTAATCGTGAGTTTCTCCGACAATGCGCGGGTGTGGACGAGGTCCGCATGGGCAGTGATGGCTTTTTCAAGTGCCGCTACGTGAAGATGATCGCGCCGAAGTCGTGCGATCGCCACGATGGTGCGGGATGCCTCAGTGAGAACCTACCGTGGATGATGGAGTCTTTGGCGTTAAATAGGAACACGACAGGGATCAATCGCCAAGAAATGTCAAACTAAAAGGACTGCCATGTACCTCGGCGTGCTGATCTTCGAGCAACGAGAGCAACACCCCCGTGGCCAGCAGCTCGGTGGAAACGTGTGGCTGTCCATCCTCCAGCGGCGTCTTCAACAGCCACTGGCCAAGTTGAGAGGCTGACGCGACGGTATGGAAATAACGCAGAGACAGCGCCACCTCGCGCCGCACGAGCGGCGATCGATCCATGGCATGCGCGTAGAAGGATGGAAGCACTGATGCGTCTCTGTGTTGAAGCGCGACCACACGAAGCAACCGGAGCGCAGCGACCCGACTCGAGGCAGACCTGAACGATGTCGCGTCCCCAAGGAGACTAGTCGCGGACGCAATAAGGGACCGCGGAAGTACGCGGGACGACGACGCCAGCGAGAGGAGGCCATCGATGGCAATCGACCGAATGCCAGTGGATTCGTCATGTAAGAACTCGATGCATATGGTTTCGACATCTGCACGAAGATTGCTCGAGATCAAGACGTCGCGACAAATCTTGAGAATTTCCTCGCGCTGATTGCGTTCATCCATGACGTTCGTGCTTTGGCGAACCACCGACATGTACGGTGCAATGCTGACGTGGGGACGGACCATCATCGGCTTGACGGCATGCAGCAAACGAAGCGCGCTGCACTGAGCACTAATAATGTGCACTCGCTCGGCTTCAACTGACTGCTTCGCCTGGCTGATTTTTCCGATGATCTCGGTGTGGCCTGATGAATTGCACGTGGGTGCACATGCTGCAAGGGCCAGGCGTTGCATGAGCGCTCCACACAGCCACGCGTCCGTGTCATTCAGCCCGTGGCTCTCCAATTTCTCCCACAGCGACGTTGCATGATCGCTTGCCTCTTCGCCTAGTCGGATCTCGTCCACCAGAGCATGGACCGAGTTCAGCCGGCTGCGGGAAGTCGTCGCCATCGTCGACTTTTGGTCGTGCAAATCCTCCGGATAACAATCCAAAATGTCATTTGGAAATATCTCATCAAAATTTAGTACAATGATACTTTTCGTCGGAGTATTTCTGCAAAGTCACAATGTTGTATCCGGAACTATATGTTATCCAAGGTTTTCATGGAAATATAAAATTTCAAGATAAAAATCCCTTGCACCTCACACTCACACCATGGTTCGCTACGTTGCCTCGGTCGATGCGCTAGCTGTTGCGGCAGCGAAGGATGCGGCTCTGCCCAAGGTTGTCCTCATCGGAACACAGGAGACGCCTGGTCTTGAACTTATCACTCGCGTCGTGGTACGCCTGACTGGATCACCCGTGGACCCGGTTGCCGCGCAAATCCTGGCGCATGCCGTCATGGAACTCGCGCCCACGCCTGACGTCTCGGCCTCGACACATGTCTATCTTCCCGTTGGAAATGGAAAGACTGACGTCGTGAGCGTGACTGTGGCTCAACTTCCGACGCATGTATCCCGCTACAACACTCCCGCTCGTCCGCATGCGATCAGTGAACTCGTGAAAGCGAATGCATCGTCTGGCGCTGTCGTGGTTGCGCTGTCGTTGCCAGACCACGACTTTACCTTCGAAGCCGCGGCGTTTGGTGTTGCAAAGGGAATTCCGGCGTATGCACACAAGAGCAACTCCCCTTTCCGTGGGGTCGTCACCGACGGATTCGCCACGTCGTTTCCGCCAGACGACGTACAAGTCGTGTTCCATGAAGCCCTCACGGAGTGTCAAGTGTCTTACTTGAACCATACAGCGGCATCCATTCACTTGACCCAGCGTCTCGTGGATGCTCCGGCGAACGAACTGAACACGGACACGTTTGTCGCAGAGGCCCGTGCTGTTGCCGCGCGCACGGGAGCAGCCGTCAAGGTGATCCGTGGCGAAGAACTGCGCGAGCAAGGCTTTGGCGGGTTGTATGGGGTCGGCAAGGCGGCGGCGCACCCCCCCGCATTAGTCGTCCTTTCGTACTACCCTCCATCCACTGATGCCACGACCGGCAGCGTGGCATTGGTGGGCAAAGGGATCGTCTACGATACGGGTGGGCTCGACTTGAAGCTGTCCGGCGCGATGCAGGGCATGAAGGACGATATGGGTGGTGCCGCGGGTCTTTTAGGAGGTTTCCAGGCCGCCGTCTTGTCGCGCACAATCACGGCGCGTCCGTTGCATGTGGTGCTCTGTCTGGCGGAAAACGCCATCGGCCCGTTGGCCACGCGTCCCGACGACATCCACACGTTTTACTCGGGAAAGACTGTGGAAGTGAACGACACGGATGCCGAAGGCCGCCTTGCCCTCGGAGATGGCGTCGCGTACGCTGTCAAGCACCTGAACCCAAGCCTCCTCGTCGACATGGCAACCTTGACCGGCGCGCAAGGCCTCACAACGGGACAGCGCATTGCGTCCGTCTACGCCAACACGAACGAAGCGGAGGCGTGGGCTGTGGCCGCTGGCCGTCGATCCGGCGACCTCGTGCACCCTGTGCCGTACTGCCCCGAGTTTTTCCGCCCCGAGTACAAGAGCGAAGTGGCTGACATGAAGAACTACATGGCCAACACGAAGAACGCCGGCGTGAGCTGCGCCGGTCAATTCATCGGGAACCACCTGGGCGAGTACGAAACCAACGGCCACTGGATCCATGTTGACATGGCGTACCCGGTGGCGAGCGGCGGTCGTGCCACGGGGTACGGCGTCAGCTTCGTCCAGGCTTTACTTGCCGAGTACAAGTGAGAAGAAAACGGCCAACTCTGCATTGCTGTGCCTCTTGGCGGCTCATGTAATAGCCACGGTTCTGATGGTTGTCGCGATGTCGTTTTGGGGGAATCGATCGTCATCGGCACACTCAACTGAGTCGCATGGGCGACTTCACGGTGGATGGTGACCACGGCGCAATTGGGTTTGGTTGAGAATTCGTCGATGCCGAGGGTTACGCACTTGAGTGACGTCCGCACTCAGCGGCAACAGACGCAAGGGCGATCATGCCATGCACGAATTCAACGGGAAAGCATCGCATACACTTCGGACGGAGTTCGGTGCAGGATGCGAATGCTGGCCAACAGATCTTTGCCAGCGGGGACGCACGTATTCCCTCGAGCACGACAGGGCACCCCAGCTTTCGATTGCACCTTTCTCAACACTCAATCGGCAGCCAGCGACGACGGACTGTCCATGGCCGTCTGTTGTCTGCAGCGCAACCAAGGCACGATGTGCCCCAGCATGTTTTAGGGCCGGTCCACGTTGAGAAAATGCACAAGGGGCTGCAGCAGTCGTCTTGCCACGGCATAGAATCGCATGTCGTGATGCATGCTCGGGTAGAAGGCCGCTGTGCATGTTCGAATCCATGCCAACCTCCACCGACTTTCGTATATCTATCGGCTCGGTGCGGTCCGCGACTGGCGGAACCAAAGCGCTCACAGAAAGCAACAGCGGGCTTGGGCGGGTGCGTGGGTCGCGGACGAGTGAGGAGCGCACAATCGTATGGATCCTGCAAGGTCGGCGGCTGCTTCCGACTTTCGTCTGTGCGAGAGAAGTGCTGCATGCGACGGAAATAGCACACATGGCTATTCTTGGCGCTGACGGCAGTGTATGTACAGGACACAATTGTCGTGTGTTTCGTGACGATGGGCGTGGGAGGTTGGCAAGTCGTGCCGTCACCTGCAGCTAGCAGCTCCCGAACAATCAATCGAGTCCAGTCGGTCGAGAGCCGACGGTCGTTTGGTGGCCACCATGTTCGGGACGACCTGTCGGACGCAGTCCAAGGCGTCGACAACGCCCCATCAAATGGCGCGTCCCGGTCCGACACAACGATCCATCGCCTCGTCACCAATATCCTGCCGGGGCTCGTTGTCTTCATCGCGAGCTTGCTGCTGGTCGTACTGTCGTTCCTGACCCTGCTCGTGCTCGTCTCGCAGGTTCCCCCCTTACGCATCGCGTGTGGTGCACTCATTTTTGTCGATGCAAGGGCATGTTTGAGCGCTTGGTCGTGTCCGTGAATGCCCAGACGACGACGTATTACTGGGCGCCGTACGGCCACAGCTGCATCTTGGACAAGTCTGGATTCGTGCCCCGCTCGTGCGCTGACCCACCGGTTTTTCCTTTTCTCAACTCGACACTGGTAGATGCAGCAACGACGAGGTGACCGTGACTTCGACTGCCGCCATGGCAGCGATCGGCACCGTCTTGGCACAGCAATGGGCGGCGGAGATGCGCCACGGTAGGATGTGCTTGGACTGGTTACAACGTCATGGTTCTCGCTAGCCGGGGGGCACCTCCTCGTGACAACGTGCATCCTTGGTGGGACGCAAGCCGTCGGATGGGCCAACCTCCAATTCATCGCAGGGTACGTTCAACAAAAGTCGGGGACGCTCATCGAGCGTCCAGATACGACTACTACCCCGAGTGCCTTCCCACCGCGCCGCAAGACGTGGCCGGGATGGCCATGCTTGAAACCACCGAGCGCGACAACCACGTCGAGGGACTCTACTTTCTCACGCTGTATGCCGACTTGGACCCGGCGATGGTACGGCGCGAGTTTGGCACCGCTCCGTTGATAGTCGTGGTAGTTGGCGCATGTCGAACACGTCAACTCGGACGGGACGACCCAGAAACTCATCCTCAACCCGAAACGGACGCTTGTGACCGGCACGGGCGACATCGAGCCCGACGACCTCGGGCAGGACTACATCATCCACTCGTACCCGCTTGGAATGAGGTCGCGCGGCGGCACTACTGTGGTTCGTTTGACCAGATTGTGTTTTGTCGTAGGTACAAAGTGACGGGGATGTGTGTGACCGAGATCGAAGAGTTGAGCATGCTCAAACACGAGCTGGGCTTGACTGGATGGAGCCAAGGTACGTGCCGACCATCGAACGCCATCGTCCACAGATGCCACTCAGGAAAACATTCAAAGATGCCCGTGGTCCCGGGCTGGCGCTGCGGCCATCGCGTTTCCAACGCCAACGAGCTCATGGCGATCCAGATTGTGCTAACCGTCCTCACGCTGTACCTGCTCACGGGAGACATTTACGTGACTCTCGAAGGCATGTCGCGACGAGAGGCATCATATGCTGACTTGTCGCGGCGGCTCTAGGGTTTCGCGGCCTCGTCACGGGCGATCACGTCATGACGTACAACTTTGCTGCTGGCCTCGAACGCCGAAAAGTACGTGGCGCGCGCGACTTGGACGACGAATGACCACGTGTGCGCGTTTGGTAGGCGCTCTTGGTGTGCCTCATCCTGAATTCCCTCCCTGGCGTCTTGTACTTGGACGTGTCTCGAATCTACCACTTTACCTCGAACGGGTTGCAGCTGTGGGTGCTGTCGGCGGTCGTGACGGCCACATGCTGCTCGTTTACATGGATCCTCGTCGTGTCGTACGTGCGCGAACGTTTCTTCATCGGGTCGTGATGGCGTGCACAACTAGAATCGTCGACATGATCCCGCTGCGATGGCACAACCTGTGCGTGGGGTACTCGGCGCCGTTGTTTCTGTTTTCGTCGATCGCCGCCATCTCGGTCGTGTGCTCGAGACGTGACGTTGCAGAGGCCGCATACAATCGATTCTACGCCGCCGAGCCTAACTTGGGTACGAGCCACCCCCGGTGCCACGTCAAGTGATCGTGTTCCAGGCCTTTGGATCAACAACGCAACGTGGCCGAGCGGATCCTACGTCGCAAGCGGCACGCCGTTCATCTTGACCTACGTCGTGGCCGAGATTGTCATCCCCATGATCACGGCATTCGTTGTGTCCGTGGCCATCATGACGATCTATCGGGTTCTTCGGCACCGCCGGTATGCATCTGACTGGTAGCAAAAGTTGCAACGGAATCGAGAGTGCGGCCTGTCTCCAATACGGTTCGCGTTGTGCGGGATTGGATGGTCACCGTGTGATGGTTGTAGCCCGTTCATCGACACGACGTGGTGCCGGGCCAACTCATTCCTCCGCCATGCGAACGTGCCCAACTTTATCACGTCGTTGCCGCTCGAGCCAAGCGAGGCGATTCGCCTGGGCCACGACATGTACTGCCGGCCAAGGTACATGCCGCCGTCCAACCGCTCGCTCTTCTGACATTGCAACTCGTGCTAGTACGTTGGCCACGATGGGATTCGCCACCGTCATCGACACCGCGACGAATGACGGGGGACACATCGAGTCGTGCCAAGTCGTCAGCATCTATGCGCTGGTCGCGGCACTCGTAACCCCTCGCGTTGTCGAAGCGATCGGTGAGATGGACCAGCAAAGGTTTACCGTGTCGTCGACGCACTGTATGCTGCGAGCTCGAACGAAGTATGCGCACACGCGCGGGATGTGCGTAGTCTAGCCCATGTCATGACGTGAGAATCCATTCGACCGTCCACAGTTTTATGGTAACTCATCGTTGAGAGGGACACCACGTTGCTCTTGACGCTTGCCCAACAACAACCTGCTGTTTCAGGTGCTGCCAAAAACCGTACAGCAACCTCGGCCAGCGGGTTAGCCAAAGCTCTGGCCATCAAACCTTGCAGGACCTGTGCTATCCATCCGTTCTTGTTGCATAAGGCCAAGCTCCTTCATGTGTGCTTCGACGTAACCTAGACAAGTACCCACCGATGCATCGACAGGAAGGGTGCCATCGGTTCATCAGTGGTGGTGCCATCCGTCTCTCGGACGATATGTGGCGTGTGTTCAAGAGGATCTTGGTTTTTGAGGACATCGCATGTCTTGTACTAGCCTGGCTATCTGACGGCGTCGTCGACGGAGCCAGTGGCGCTGCCACCAGATCGACGATGATGACGGTGGTGGTGGCGATCGCGGGTGGATTTGTCCGTGTGTTCGCCGTGATGTCCTTTTCGCTTCTTCGCCGACGACGGCAGTCCCTTATCTTTGTGGTGGTGAAACGACGTCGATGCTGCGTTCTCCAACGTGGGCGGAATCGTTGAAAAGTCAAACAAAATTGCGTCGTCTTGGTCGGCAAACCACGGCGCCTGCAGCGCCCGCTTCGCGTGCCATCGTCGCTTCGGGTCCAACGCGAGAAGGTTTTCAAACACTTCAATGCCAGCGTCCGGGAACGACTGCATGCGTTCGAGGATGACTTTACGCAGACGGGTTTGGTACTTGCGGTTGGGCTGCACAAAGTTGGGCAGGTGCATCGCGTCCGGCCACAAGTCTTCTCGAGGGGATCCGCAGATGCGGTACAAGTACTCGAGCTGCTTCGGGACGTCCCTTCCAACGATGAGCGGCGGTCCATGCAGCATAATTTGGAGCCCCACGATGCCCAAGCTCCACACGTCGCTGCGTTTGGTAAACACCTTGTCGCCGAGGAGGAGCTCTGGCGCCGCGAGATGCAAGGCCGACCCCGTGCAATGCTCGAGGTGTTCGCTATCAGACAGGACGTATCCTCGCAAGGTTGTCGCTCCTTTCGTGTCGACGTGGCGGGCACAGTGGAATCCCCCCAATTTGACGTACTTGGCAAAGACAAACACTACCACCAATGCACACAGGTCAAGACGGACGGACATCCCTCGAGTCCACTCGCGACGGCACGTACAGTTCGCGGGGGAGAGGAATCGGTGAACAATGTTCTGCTCGTGGCACATGGCGACACTCTGCAGCAAGTGGTACAGCATCCGCTTTCGTGTCGCAAACGACAGGATTCCAGCGTCGGCCGTCGATTCGAGCAGCGTGGACACTGTGTGCAGCGGTCGGTCGTACACGAGGTAATGGACGTTCTCCTATGCAGTCAAGACCCATGACGACGTGGTGCTGGCAACTCACGGCGGCTCCAGCTAGCAATCATCCCATGCCTCCGCCCACCACACACTCGTTGTGTGGTTGAAAACGGAAGATCGTACCTGAAGCGTTTTGGAAAGAGTTGGCTTGGCCTCGGACGACTTGGACCCATGGCGAAACGAGTGCCGGTCGGCCTTGTCAACCGGGAACCAATCGGTGTGAATATCCATCGTCGCACTACTCGCCTCGTGGGCCACATCGTCCCCGCCGCGCCGTGGAAACAAAATCCCCACTGGGGCCACAAACAAAGTCGGGGCCCGTGCGTGGACGTTGACAAGCGTCGAGAGTTCCCGCAAACAGGCGTCCGGCATGCCTCGAGATGGATGGTGGTGGTGCGACGACGCCGACTGACGGTACGGCCACGGTTGCAGATACACCGCGCGACCCGCCAGTTCCGGCCATGGCACGCCCGTGGTCTTGACGCGACCGACGAATGCACGACGGCGAATCGACGTCACGCACTCGACGTGACTCGCCATCAATTGGACTCGGTGGTGGGGCGCCTGCCGCGCCAAGAATGCCGACGGCCAAGTCGACGGCAAAAAGAGAATCGCAGGGGCTCCACACGCATCTTGGGCATCGAGGAACTGCTGAATACGTTGTTCGACCGTCGAACGGGGAAGATCGGTGCATCTCGCAGCGTAAAAGATGGTCAGTAGCTGCGTGATCGCACAGTCAAACGTGTAGCGATGCGATGCCAGGAGGCGCGGGAGATATGGTGGGGGTGACGGCAACTCATGTGGGTGGGTGGCTGTGGCGGCGGCAGCGCTTGCGATGTACAGCACGGCCACCACCAAACACTCGACGTGAAACTGCACCCACAAGGACGTGACGGGCAGGATATCGGTCACCAGACGCTTGCCAAATTTATGGGCGCGGTCGTCGGCATCCAAGTTGCCGCCCCGAAAGCACGCGTCCAACATGGCAAACGGATCCGTCGAGCTAATGTCAAACCGGAGACCTTCCAGCAGCGGTGCCTCCATCGACAGGACGAGATGCTCAACTCGTTTCAGTTCTTGCGCCGACGGCGGCGCAGCGTCTGCGTCCCCAGTGCCGCCATTGTACTTGGCCGTGTACACTGTCGTGAGGAACGTGTTCCAATCGAACTGGCGCGAGTGCGCTTTCAGAACAACGTGCAGACACGTAGCGGCCATCCATTCGATCGTGGACACGTTCATCGTGTGTGTACTCACGTATCGATGGAAGAGAACAACGGCGGTGGCGAAGTCTTCGCGGTTGAATTTGAGCATCTTCACCACAGACACTATGATTTTGGTGCAATTCGTTTGCAGCGTGGCTTCGACGGCCGCCGACAGTCCCGCCTTTCGTGACGGCGACACGTAATTCCATTCGGGTGACGACGATTCCACGACCCAGTTCAGTTTGCGACCCATGCAGTATTCATCCAGGGTTGGGGGCGGTAGTGATGATGGCGTCGTGTGGCTTGGACAGGATGTTGTCGCGGATGCAGATGTTGTCGCCATTGGGGAAAGGTTCATGGGGCTGTCCGATCGCAGGTGCTGTCGAGAGGGCGGGCGGTGGCTGGACGAGGACGACGGCCGAGAACCTGGATTGTCAGTTGCTGTCCGTCGGACATGCTGCTTCATGCGATGAAAGCCCGCGATGCCTTGATCCGTTGCCAGGAACGACCGCACGGTTGTCGTGAGGAACGGTTTATTGTCGAAACGCGCTCGCATGGCTTCGAACACGCCTGCATCTGAAAACTCGACCAGGCCCCAACCGACACGACCAAAGATCGGCGTGTCCATGAAAAAGAGGTCCATCGCGACGAGGGTCCCTGCACGATGTCCGAGCATGCGCTTGAGAAGCGCTGCATTGACGGCAGGGGGCAGTCCCTTGAGTAGGAGTTTGTACGTCTGAAGCTGCGGCATCCCATTCGACAAAGTCGGGGTGGACGGTTGGGGCGGTGTCAAGTACAGCGGTGACGCCGGCGCCGACGGAACTGCACTCGAAAGCGACACTTGAGCGTCTGGGCGGCGTGGCGGTCGATTCAGCTAACGAAACACAAGAGTCACAGGATGATGGCGGTAGGAAGAACCGTAAATACCTTGGGGATGGAAAAGACAGCTTTCTGCACGGCATCGGGCGACATCCCGCGGAGGTCAATGTATACTTGCCACTGGATCGTCGACAGGTTGACCCTTCGTGACGTGTCGTGTGACGCTGGTTTCGAGTCGCCAAGAGATATTTCGTCGTCGCTGCTGCTACTGCTGGTATCGTATCGATTGGACGGACGCTGACGACGCCGATTTATCCTGGAATAGGTCGGGCTGTTCGTGCCGTCGACGGTGGCGTCCACCACCGTGTGCTCTTGTGTCGTGGGGTCGAAGCTACAAGGGACAATGACGATGAGACCCCTGCGCCCGAGTCGGACACGAGAGCACAGCATGGACGGAAGCAGCGCATTCATGGCAAACGCCATGCGCGATCGACGTCAGAGAAGCCTTGAATGGCACGAACCTCTTGACCAGTACGACCGAGAATGTCGATGGAACGGTGCTGCCATTACATCCGTCGCTCGTCGACGATGCGTTGAATAATCGCAGGGTCCGACCCACGAGGTGCTCGTCGATGGAGTCCGTGTCCGTCGGGTCCTGGAACACGCCATCTGGGGTGTCCATGGGCTTTTTCTCGACTTCGTCACCGATGAACCCCTTGCACTCGACTTCCCCGCAAAAGCATCTGCAAAGAGACGTGTCAGATATGAAAGAAGGGCGGTCGCACCACAAGGCGACCTACTTTATTCTCTGTCGACCGAGAACTGTCCATTGGTAGTCGAACGTGAGCTCCTCCCCCGGCTCGAGATCCCGAAGCGCAAACACCAACAGTCGAGTTTCGCCCCCAACCGTCCACTTTTCAGCCTTGCAATTCGGTTTGCAGCTATGGTTGACAAACCGCGTGAACCCGCCGCGATGCCGGGCATCGATGTACACGCCGTTCGACAGCTGGAGGTAGTAAAAGTTGGTCTCCGTCCGCCCAAGGCCGCTCGTGCGACGATACAACTCCTTTTGCCCGATGATTTCACCCACGTATTCGCCGACTGGGTCAAGTGCACGCACGCGTTCGGTCGTCCGCACGCCAAAGCCCTTGAGTTCGGTCTGGAATGGTTCAAGACGTGGAAACAATTCGGGACGTTGCAGTCTCTGGTTGCGGCAGGCATGACCGGTAGGACATCGATCCAGCGGGCATTCCACGTACGTCGCGTAGTTGATGCATTCCGTGTCGTGGCACGCACTATCCGTGTGGTCCGTGGAGCTACAGAAGCACGGTTCTGCTTCCACTGGCGACGGCTGCGTAAGCGGCGGAACATACACGCAGCGAGTAAGAAGCTCGAATCCCCGCAACGCGGCAACTGCCTCCATCGAAAAAGCATGAGACGATGACGATGGCACTCCTGAGGCCATGGCGCAAGCGGTGTCGTCTCGTCCGCGCGTCGAATTTGCGCTTCTGGGATCAAAATGCATCGTACCAGCCAATCACAGGATTCGATATCCGGATGAGCTCAAATTCCAAGTCGTATCCGGACAAATCTTTCACACGCGAAAATTTCACGTGGATTTCAACGGACGACGACACCGTCCCGCGCATGGGAGAAGGAGATGATGTCTGCACCGTGGCAGACGAGTAAGTGAAGGGCTACCACGTTGACATTTATCTACGTGACAATACGCGCCTCCTTGAGGATTTGCATCGCATTCTTCGAATTGCCTTTCCTCAGGAGGATGTAAACCAACATCTCGAGCGAATGGCGCGACGAAGGAGCGAGCCGAACTGCCTGGGCCACGCTCTGCTCGGCCTGTGGCATGTTTTTCTGCGCGACAGGAGTGTGAGAGCCAATTTGTTCCATCCAAGCCATTTCGACAACAGATCACAGGGTGGAAAGTTCGAACTACCTGCAAGATGGCAGTTGTAGCGTTGTTTACGTGCAGATGTGCATGTACGGTCGCTGTGTCAGTCTTAGCTTCCCGTGCGTAAGCGTCCGCCAAGCTCAACATGTCGTTCAGTTTGAGTTGCGCTGTCGCTTCCGCAGACCGCGACAGCATACACAGCGCTTCTGCGTAATACGACCGAATCAAGAATCTACAAAGGGCGCCATCGCCATGACCTTCGTCTTCATGAGAAAGGTAGCGTACCGATGGGCAGTTGTGCATGTGGGCATCGCAAGCAGCTCCTTTGCCGTGTTGATCGCCAACTCCGGTGCGTTCATGCTCAAGTACGCATAAACCAGGTTCACGAGTGCCTTTTGTCGCAGCAAATCCAACGACTCTTCCAACGACATGCGCGCCCCATCGTCCGTCGCATCGCCTGCCGCCCGAACGTATTCGCCTTTCGATTCCAACACTTGGTGGCTCAAGATCAACGCGTTGCGAAAGCACTTGACTGCAAATGGGAGGCTCATCGACGGCACTGCGCCATATCGATTGTCAGATTTGGGTACATCTTGGAGGCGATCTCCGTACCTTCGGACGCACTCGACGATGTGGATGGCAAACTGTCTGCCGATGTGATCGATGCCGCCGGTTCGTCCGTCGGCGGGCGAGTTGGCAGGACAATTCGACGGTGGGCACCATGGCCGACGACTGCGCTCACCAAGCAGTTTTTGTACTCAGTCGGCAGAGCTTCCCTCTTTGCTCACGTCACGGAGAATTCCACGTGCGATCAGGTTACCTGGGCAGCGTACGAAGCTGTGCAGCACTCGCCCAGGCGAAGCCATAGCTTCGGTCGATTGAACATGAGCTTGGACGCGGCATGGAGGCACCGAAATGCAAGCGCGTACTTTTTGAGCACGAGCAGCTGCAAGCCGTTGTTGTACAAGATCTCCGCCTGCGCCGAGCTCTATCGACCGAGTTGAGAGCTGCTGACTCGAGAGCCATCGCATTGTACCGCCAAATGATGAGCCGCATTCGTGGTGGCGTCCGAAGCGGTCTTACTGCCCGATGCTTTCGAGGACGGCCGAGACGGCGACGACGTTTCCAGTGCTTTCGCAAAGTACGACTGAGCGGCTTGGTGGTGCCCCAGCTGCGAATGCACACATCCCAAGTTGTTCAAATACAGCGCCTACGACTGCACAGTCAGCCTTTGGTCGAAGGGCTCACACGTCCAGTCCATAAAACAAATCGCACTAGGCGGTGAACCGCAGATTTGAGCGATAGAAAGCTGCGCACCTCATCGACAGTTTGTTGTTTGCACGACGCGATCAACTTGATGCACTTTTTGAAGTTCCGACGCAGGTATTCCAGTTGCGCCTTTAAGAACAGCGCCGACGAGTTCTGGACGGCTGCATTGGGCGGAACGTAAATGGACCCGACGCCTCCAGCGATCGGCGGAAGCGACACAACGGCATTGCTTCCGTCGCCCTTGACGGGCTTGATGTCGCGCTGATAGATCTCCATCGCGGTTTTCACATCCTTCTTGGCGCCTTTCAAGTTGTCGTGCAACAGCGCGAGTTTCGACTTGTACAAGTGCAGTCGAAATTTGAACTCGACGACGTGCGACTCGTGCGCCGCCGCCGCGGCTGCCGATGCTTTCGTTGGTTTCTTGTCCGATGTTGGAAGCGGCACCAAGCCGTTGAACGTGTGCGGGCTTTCTAAGTACGCGATCAGCGCATCCGCTTTTTGGCGCAGGGCCGAAGACGGCGCTGCCGCTTCAATGATAGAGTTGCTCCGGCTACTGTGAAGAATCACGTCGAGGTACAGGAAGCAGATGTGCATCGCCACATTTTCGTCCATGGGTTCGATCGCACGCAACAACACGTCCAGCAGAGATGCCGCCGCCGCGTATTTCTTCTGCCGAAAATACACCAGCGCGAGGTTGTATCGCAACAGAGACGCATCACGTTCCATGGCCAGCGTTTGGAACGAAAGATTCACGCCGCTGAAGATGGACGAGCTTGAGGCGTTGGATCGGGTGGCCGCACTCGCACTCATCGCACCATCGAGCTCGAGTTGGTCTTCTTCCCAAAACTTATTGTCCTTGCGCAATTTCATTCCCAAGACACTGGAGGGTTGACTGTCACCTTGCGACGACTGCTGTTGCATCTGAGAGACCGACACCTGCATATCCGATAGCAAATGCAGCACAATGCTTTCGAAATCCGTGAACTTCGTCTTCCCCGCCAATAGTTGCGACAACGCCAGGTTGTGCTGAACACGATTCTTCATGGGACCGCCATTCCCAGTACTACTGTTCTTGTCCTTTCCTTTCCTGTCGTCGTGAGACGACTTGCCTCGGTCTTCCCATGAGCTCAGTTGTGTCAACAGGTCGGCGACATCCGCGTACTTGCCCGCCCTAGATGCAGTACACGTTGCTCAGACACTGTTCAGTTGTCATGCATGTCGGACACGCCCATCTCTTCCTCCACACATGCATACATGCATCGACATATGAACATTACGCGAAATGTGCTTGAGCCCGCTGTGCCGTCGAGCTCAAGCTTGAGCCGTCCATTTTCCGAAATTCCAAGAAGCGTGGCGCTGGGAACACGACGAAAATCACTTGACTTTTGTATCCAATACAGTCTTGAGTTCCACCAAAATGTTCATATTTTTTATGACCACAAAGTTAATCTTGGAGATTGTATCCCGCATGGACCTGTGGAATATAATACAATTTTGCACGCGGCGGCCGAGGTGGATCGGCGCATGGAGGAAGCATTCAGGTACACCTGGCCATCTGCCGTGTTCACAAGTCTGTACATGCACAGCAGAGTTTCCTCATCCGGGCAACTTTTCACGTTAGATTATGGTTACAGCATCTTGTCTATATGCCCTGACAAGACCCTTCGTACGTCCCTATTCGTCTGATCTACTTCGCCTCGTCGTTAATTGGCGGCGCCTTGGTATCCACCACCGCGACCACCACGGCCACCAGGCTTCCCATCACGTCCACCGCTGGGTCGGCCAGACGACGCCGCCCCGTCTTTGGGCCGACCGTTGAACCCACCTCGGCCGCCGCGGCCACCAGCAGCGTATCCGCCTTCGCCGTTACCTCGGCCACGACCTCCACGGCCGCCGCTGGTGAACGAAGCCTTGTCCTTGGAGACGCGTTCGACAACATTCAGTATTTGGCCATGGATGGAAAACTCGACGCCGTCCGCCACCGCCGCCAGGACACTTCTCATGCTTTCTTCTTCATAAAAATCGACAAACGCGTGACCCTTGCTCTCGTTGACGTTCGTGGCAGCAATCTTCCCGTACGATTTGAACAGTTCCTTGAGATCGTGCGACGTCGTGGGGGAGGGCACTTGCTTAATGTACAAGCTGAAGTACACCGGTCGGCCTGGCTTTTGACTGGGTGCAGAGACAGGAGCAGGAGGAGGAGAAATCACGGCCGCTGACGCTTCGTCGTCCCACGAGGACGTAGGCTGTTGCTTCTTGCGAGGCGACACCACCTTGGCAGACACCGCGGATGCCACGGCGGCCACCGCCGACACCTTCTTGTCTCCACCGACGAAAAGCGAGGCCCAGCTCTTAGGCGCGCTCGGGTCGGCGGCAGGAGCTGGCGCGGCAGCTCGTTCGTCGTCATGGGACTTGGGTTTGGTTTGCTTGGGCTTGTTGTTCTTGGGCGAAACAACATGCTTTTCACTACATTGCGGCGTGAGGTCCATAGGATCGACAGGAAGGGATAACCTACTCCTTCTTAGGCGATGCAGGACGAACGCTCTTCGGTTCTTCGTGTACGACGGCTGCAGCAGCGGTAACCGAACTTCCAGCTGCAGGTTTCGGGGTCGACGGCTTTGGGGTGGATGGCTTTTTCGTGGGAGAAGTTGGGTTCGCGGCATGTTTAGGAGACAAAACATGCGCAGTAATTTCCACTTGAGGAGCGTTCGAAGCAGGCAATGGAGGAGACAAAACTACAGCAGGTGTGGCCTGATGTTTTGGCGACGTCACAGCTTGCTCCTTGGCTTGCGTCTGCGTGGACTTGGAGGGCGATGGAGCAGGTGCAGCCTTCTTCGGAGACACAGGTTGTTGTTGCTTCGCCGAAGGAATGCTGAGGATCCGCAGGACGTCGTTCAACACAAAGTACCCGTTTTCCTGCACTGCAAGGAAGAAAGATTGCACAAAGTGCGCGGGTGAACTTCGTTGCAGCGTGATCACTCCCGTGACCAAGACGACGACTCCCCCCTGTTGGCTCCCTTGGCAATCAATGGAACCATGGTCGAGTTGCACCACTGCACCATTGTAATGCTTTTTGAGGATCGTGCTGTTGATGGCCGCTTGACCAGACACGGACTCCTCTGGGTGCGAACCATGGCCGTGGCTGAACGTACTCTCTTCCTTGTAGAAGCGGTGAAGTTTCTCGGGGGACTCGGTGAGCAGGTTGTAGTATTGCTTCACGAACGTGTTGCCCACAGTCGTGGGGTGAGGCACAGAGGCAGTAGCGGGGCCAGTCATGACGTCCAAACCAAAATGAGCCCCCCAACCGCGGTGCTACTCTCCTTCAAACCACAAATTGAAATCTTTATCCGGATAGTGTATCCGGGAAATCGAAATCCTCGACGTCTATACAAACGGCTAGTTCAATTCAACGGGGGAACGAACTTGGGAATAACAACAATTTCAGCTGACTTCTGGATTTTTCGGAAATTTAACAACAAAATATTTTTGTGTCGTGCACCAGATTTTGAGGGTGGAATCACAATATGCAGACACAATATATTATCTCAAGATTTTGTGAGCGATATCCAACGATGTTTTCTTAACAAAAATCAGTGTTGATGGAAAAATTAGCAAAATATTGTTTCAGATAGTTGCAGAGGCCTTGATCGTATTATTTCCATGGCGCAACGCTTGTTTGACCACGTTGACGCGGTTCTGCGCGACAAGACGGCCGCGACGTCGATATCGGCGCAGGAAGCCTCGCAGATTCAGGACCGGTTGCACGTGGCTATCAAGAAGCTGGCACAACGCATCGACGAGGACCCGGACCATAGAGACGAGTGGACTGCACAAAAGGACCGCGCCGACGCGCTGCTGAAACAATGGATGCTTCTTCAGCGACAGCGAGCGCTCAAGCAAGAACATGACGAGCTCTTGGACTTGCCCAAAGCACGTGCGGAAGCGACGAAAGCCACCCATGCGGACGTCCATCGTTCGATGGAGCGGACGAATCGTGCGCTGCGAGAGCAGTTGGAACTGTCCGAGGAAGTTCGGCGGCGTATGGGCGACGGAACGCACGATCTGAAAAAGACACACGAGCGATATGCCGAAGTAAAACAACAGCTCAGCCAAACGCAGCGACTTCTCAAGGAACTCGACCGTCAAGCATACATGGACAAGCTCTGGATCACCGCCGGCATGTTCATCTTCGCCTCGGTCGTCCTCCTCATCATCGTCGAGCGCTTCCCACGACACTTGATTCCAATCTTTTGGATATTTTGATTTGCAAAATATACATATATTGTAATTCACTCTGTAACTGTCGTCACTCGTTCGGTGGAAATGCTCGCGAGCAGCGACGACGGAAGCGACACCTCGGTGGAGGGCCTGATTGAGCGCTTCCGGCGTGGATACCCGGTGCAAAATCGCTCTCCACGTCGTCGCCCCAAGGACTCACCCGCGCATCCACCTACAGCTTCGTTTGCGCATGACCAGGACATCGAAGAGGACATTGAAAAACTCCATGAACTCGTTCAACGTCGAGAAATCCCGACATCAATGCGTTCACAGAAAGATGCCGGCACGACACGCCCCCCACGTTTATCTACATCGCCAACAGCCCACCGCGCTCTTCATCAGCACCGGGCTGTCTCACCTGATCCTCCGCCACCCCCTCCTCGACGCAGCCCACACACGGTATATCTCCCCTCGCTTCTTCACTCGCATCATTTCTCACGCAAGACGTAGATGCCAGCTACCCCACGCGATCGCCTCGACGCACAAATTGCTCTGATGATGCTGGACCAGCAACAACCGAAGCGCACAGTACGTACCTCACTTCCATCGACCTTCATTGAACGAGCTCGTTGTAGAACTCGATCCCACCACGAGAGATTCATGTGGCGCCTTCAACCGCCGACGTCATTCGAAAGACAGCCGTCGACATCGACAAGGACATGACACATGCCCTGTCTGGATTTGTCGAGCGGAATGCGCGCGACCTTGCCGAGGAAGCGAAAGCTGTCGAGGAAGCAGCACGGGCGGCGCCGCCGTTGCCTGTGTCGGCCATGACGGTTGCGACAGAGCTGGATGCAGCGTTCGATCTACTCACGAAGAAGGCGAAGGGGTACAATGCGAAAGCCCAGACATCGTCTTCGTCGACGACAGCGACGCATGTAATTCTTGCTTCACTTACCTCCCATGCGATGTCGACTCAGGTGGAGTTAGGCCGGCCAGGGAGACGCCCAGCACGCCGTCCATGTAGTTCACACGCACGGAGCTACGACAGAGCGCGAGCTATGGCCAATTCTTGAGCGACTCGAGAGGGTTCGACTCGACCTTCGACTCGTTCAAGTCGACACCTCTTGTGTAGGCGTCGGAGGCCGCGGCTGCAACGTCGCCGCAGCTCGACCATATTCTGCACTCACAAGTCGTGTCCGATGACCGGAACTTACGAGAAATTTTGTCGCGCGTTGACATGGTCGGATAAACACTGTCCACGAAACCCCACCTCATTGAACATAAAGGTGGCGACCCCCCCAACATCGACAATGCTCTTTGACCCAACGGCGCTTGGCTTTCGCGATGACAGTGGTCATGGAGAGGATGACGTAGGGTCCGTTCTAGACCATCTTCAACAAGTCAAGGAACATGCGATGGCGCAAAGCCACGCCATTCAAGCGCGGTTATTGATGCAAAATCGCATAGAGCCCCACCAAATGCAAGGTCTGCCAACCTATGCATCCAGGCGAGAAGTAGTGGTGGCACCACTGCATCATCCACTAGCGCCAAATGCCCCCCAAGACGACGCGAACGACAACCAATTGAGTCAGAACGACGAGGACGAGTGTGACGATGACGATGATGTCGAAACTGCAGTGTCGGCCCAAGACATTGTCGAGGAACTCAGCGTCGCCATGTACACGCTTCGCCATCGGTAGCTTCCAGCTCTACCATTTGAACACTGAAAATTCACTCCCTGGTCTAGGCTAAATCTAGACGCCCGGGAGAAGCATGAGAAGGACGCGATGGACGCAGCGCAAAAGTCGGCCAAAGACAAAGCCGCCGCAGATGCAGAACTCGCCAAGCAGCGGGCTGAGCAGGCCCAGCGAGACGAAGCGAATGCGCGAGTACGTGTAAAGCATGGACGTTAGTCAGAACCAAAGGCTGCATGCAGGCGCGAGTGATGGGGCGAACAGCATGTGAAGTATGGCATGGCGACGACGACGACGACCACAAGGATGTGATGGACGACTCGATGAAACCATGGCGGTTGTTTCCGTCAGTGCATGATGAGGCGTCCGATGTCATGCTGCGCTTTGACATGCTCGTGCGAGAGACGTATGACACGGTGGAGTTCGACGTATATGGTTTTGACGAGATTCTCATGAAAGAGCAGGACGACGACGATATGGAGCCGCCGCGAACAACACGACGACTGCGAGGGCAAAGCCCTCTGCAGCAGCAGGCACGAATACACCACAAGGGCAATAACCAAGTAAACTCCTTCAACTTTATTGTGCCGAAATTGCATCAACCGACGATTAGATGGACGACTGGAATGACTCGGATCACTATCGCAACATCGTGCCGCCCTACTTGCCAGTCCACAAGACGTCACCTGCTCACGAAGTGTACAAGCCATGGCGAAGATTGCCCGAGATCAACGAATCCAAGTCTATGGAACCGTCGCCAATGTCATGGTCACTGTATCGCGGTCCATCGTCGCCGCCTCGACCGGTGACCGCTCGGTTGCCGTCGTCACGTCCACGGCAGCCGTTTCCCGTGTCAAAAGATTATAGCTCCTATAGGTACCTACCTCGTCGCGATGCATGCGTTCCATTTCATGACCCATACACTCCTCTTCTTGTAGCGTCGACGACCTCCGGCGGACGCGGGAGGCCAAGCTCGCATGGTTGCAGTCGCAATAAAGCGTGAAAGTAATAGCTTTTGTCGTGCATTGTGATTGGTGGATTCGAAATCTTGAAACGGCGCTTTGGGCGCTTTTCGAATAAATTGTCCAGCGGCGTCGATGGAACATGGTACGTAGGCCGCGGCGACTCGGCCGCCACGTTGGGGTGGAAAAACTTACGAGTGCAGCAGTAGATCGCGTTGGACACATCCTCCGACGGGCAGAAAAGACGCATGGCCATTCCGACTTGACGTTTCTGCAAGTGCTGGAAGCCGCCGAGCATCCCCTGCACCCTCCAGCGTCCGGACGCGTGCAGCAGCTCTTGCTTACTCTCTCGATGGACCCAGAGCCGAATTGGTGGAAAAAGCTTGCGCGTCATGTCGGTCTTTGCCTTGGAAGCTGAAGGAAGCATCCTCATCGCAACATGTCGTTCCAACCATAGGTTTCACGACTTCAGTCCGTTCCCGAAACGAAGCATGTACGTGGCAGATTCCAACATCCACAACTGATGGTGCGCTCCACTCCAGCCTTCTCTCTCGACGACTTCCTCAGTGACCGACCGTTTCCAAAACATGATGGCTCACCACGACCGACGCGTCGTCGAAGAGAAGCAATCCGGTTTTCGTTCATCGTACCTCGTAGTTCAGTGTCGCTCACGAGTTGTCCCTTGCCTAGCTACACAGCGAGCTGTACCTGTCGACCCTTCCAGCCATGATGTTCTCGTATTTCGGGTGATGGCAAATGCATTTCAAAGGTGGGCTCGTATCACCAAGCACCTCCGGAACTCACGCCGCCAGTATGTTTGCCATCTACATCAACAACTCACACCGCATCTTTGCCTCAGACAATTGCATGCATCGCATGTGCCGCAGAATCACCAGCATCAACGCGGACAACGCGGGTTAGCTCCGATGCAATTCAAGGCCCTCGTTCGCTGGCTCCAATTCTCGTGGCCAGCGTCGACAACATCTCTGTCAGGACAGTGCCTCAGCCAGTCATTTCATGCTCGCAACCGAGCTGTCCAGCTTGCATCGGACCGATTGCTGCGGCTATGGACAGTGACGAGAGTATGGCGTGGGTGGATGCATCACGTGGCGCGGTGCACGCAACGAAACGTGGACGTACAGCGGAAGCGGCTGCAAGCCATGTTGCGCCGCCGCCACCGGTGCTTTCTCGCGTGGCACATGTGGGCAGCCCATTACGGCCCCAAGCTCCGACAGATTCAAGCCCGCCAAGTCCACAGCGTGACGCGACAGGGGTGGCGCCGGTGGCTTCTCGCGATGGAACTCACGCACCACCGTCGACGGCACCAACAGGCTTCTCTCCGTCGGTTGTGGCGACGGTGGATTCAATTTGTGCATCGACGTCAGAACCAATACGCTCGGCTCGAGCGCACGGTGGCCCTGCACGATCGTCAAGTAGCCCTTGCGGTGCGTCCTCACTCGTGCAGGTTGGATTCGGGTTCATGGCGGTGGGGTTCGAATCTGTAGGCATGGCGGCAGTGGCGACTCGTCTGCAGGATCCAACGCCAAGGACGGGCGTTGGCTGCGCGGTGCGATGCCGTAGCAGTACGGCACTGCATGGCGCGCGGTCTCGTTCAGTGGCATTCGTGGTACACTCTTCGCCGAGATCAGAATTTGGTCACTACCACAGCCGTTCAGGTACGCATCGGTCGCTTCGAAGCATTTTGTTGTACAGGCACGATGAAAATCATGACAATGATGGATGATAGCATGCTGACCGCAGCCGCGTTTGCTGGATCTGGCGGCACTGGGCGGCGTATGTGATTCAGCGCCGACGGTTGCATGCGCTGCAGTCGACGCTCCCACAGTTATTTGACGCGGCGCTTCATGTCCACTACTTGAGCACGTGGCGCCTGTACACCATGTTGCGCTGTTTCGTGGATTTGAAATCGCCGTAATTGTAGGTGCACCCACTTGTCCATAGAGGAGGCGAAGGCGGCGACTGCGATGGTCCACTTTCACCGCCGAGCGCGATTCTGGCGAGAGTGGAAGCAACGCAAACTCGTTGCTGTTGTCGTGAGATTGCTCTGCACCCAGGAACAACGCCGCACCCGGACCGTGGCATTTCAAGTTTGGCTCGATTTGCTCGCTCGACAGCACCATCGTCGGGAGGTCCTCGAAGCCCACTGGGCTCGTTGGAGGTCCCTTCACGTCGCCCAGGTCTTTACAGTCTGGCACCAGGTACATCTACATCCTTCCATGTTTATCCTTTTCATCGCTGCACCTGAATCGATCTTTGCGAAGTACCATTGCCGCCAGGATCTGATACGACTTCGCTTTGGTGCCTTTACCAATCGTCGACTAGAAGCAATGTGGAGTGCGTGGCGTACGCTCACTCAGCATCGCCGCCATGTGCGACAAAGTAGATTCGCTCAAGGCTTGGCTCTCCACACCCATAAAACCATGCGCACGTGGTGGGTCGTGTGGGCATCTCAGCACCGGGCCCACAAAATTGTTGAATTGCACCGCGTCAAGCGCCGTCACCGTTGTCTGAATGTAGTCTTTGTTAAATGGGGTCGCGCAGCGAGGTAGGTCTCCAGACATGTGCATACCTCACATCTGAACATGGGAATCGTGGCCGTAGAAAGCGCCAGATGCTGCGGACAGCGGTGTCGATCGGTCGCCAAGCTTCAGCCCAGGCCACGATGCGGCGTGTATTTGGCCGGTGGAGCTCCGTGACCAAAGTCCGTCGAACGATGAAGCGGGTGTTGAACCAACGCACTGTATGCCGCGATGGACGGCTCGTTCATTTGATCTGGCAGTGTTGGCGGACCCATGTCGACGCGAGGAAAACGCTCCTGACCAAGTTGCAATTGGCGCTTGCTTGGAGCCATCACCACTGCCTAAGCGCAAGGTTTACGGGCTGGCGGCGCGTGGTTCACGCGCAGCAACTCTTTCGTGCAAAGAGTCGGCTGGTCTTGCAAACCCTGGGCCAGCAACATGTCGGGCGAACGTTCCAGCGGTGGCGGGCATGGCTACACCACGAACACGGGAAAAAGGACATCGATGCACTCTTCTGGCATCGACGTCTTCGAAGTGCAGTGCGGTCGTGGAGACTGTCCACGTCAATGCTGCGATGGGTGCGACACACGTTGCCGCAGGCGCTAGGGTGCAGCAAGCGCCACACGTACGAACGAATATGGCGGCGGTGGTGCAAGTATACCCAAATGTCGTGTCACGGGCGCCAGCAACTCGACATCGCCGAGGTAAATTTGTGAGAGATTGAGACAATTGATTTGACACCGTGCGGTTCCAGGTGGCTTGGTCTCGCCGCACGTTGTGCTTGGTCTGGAAGATTTGGGTCCATCGAAGTCGCACTACCTCTGCTCTGCGCAGCAAAGTCGAACGGTGCGTGGCCGTATTAGCGCGGCGCCAAATGCGCATGGCTGTAACGACGCTGCACACAACCGCAGTGTTCCGCCGCAAACTCCACCAGTGGACGTCCGTGCGCGGCTGCCAGTTCTTTTCCACGTTGACCACGAGGGTGTTTCAGCAATGGCAGGAGCACACACGAACTCAATCGAGCAGTCGGCGCGTACACGCTGCCCACGCCGCGCACATGCAGCGCCGTCGACAGCGCGCCGCACTGCATCACGTATGTAGCTCTGTCCATCTTGACCGCTCCGTTGACGTTGTCATTATCAGTGGATCGAATGCGCCAGATCCAATCGATTTTGGACAGACAAACTGCGTCAAGCCAAGCGATGGTTCCAAACTACAGCAGTCCATTTTGTCTTCACGACTTGGAAAACTCAAGTTGCTCGTGTCCGTCGACAGAAGCATTCGATGCGATCGATCGTCCAACGGTGGCACCAGCTCGAACTCGCGGGTTTCATGACTCGGTGGCGAATGTATACGAGCCACCGCCTCCGCCGCGCCGACCAGACCGCCGTTGCCGCGACGGTGTTTCGAACGTCACTGTACCGCCGCGCCATTCAGTCATGGAAAGAGCTTCGGCGAGCGCAGCTCGCACTCAAGCGCAACCTGCAAGACTTGCTTGGGACGCGAAGGCTCACGCAGCTTCAGCACTGCACAACTACGTGGCGACATTTTGTGCGATCGAAGAAAGCGCTGGTCGCCAAGTTGCACGAGTTCATGGCGACGTCCAGTGCCACCTTACTCTCCACACGGTAAGGCCATCGATCGGTTAGCCCTCTGTGGCCCTTTCACGTTCGACGTTGCTGCGTGCTGTTCAGCCGCTGCTTTCGACACTCACTTGGTGTGCTGCAGGTTCAATAGGTGGCATCGGCATGCCAAGTTAGCACCCCAGCTGCGCTGGTTTCGACAGCACCGACACAACCAAACGCGGGAACGAGGTACTGTCGTTGTACTTGTGCGAGTAGATTGAGCAATAGTGTAGCCGTCGTCTTCAATCCAAATGTGGCTGGGCCAAGCAATCTCAAATTGGGATGCGGTTGTAGTGCTGCACGAGTGGCGTCAACTAGTCTTCCTTCGCCACCGGTTCCACGCAGCTGTGGCGTTGCTCGAAGGACGGTCGATGTCGAGTGTATTCGCCCACTGGCGTCGCTACGTTAAAAGCACTAGCGAGCGCCGCCTCCACGCTTTGGAACACATGCACTGGGTGCAGTCGAAGCGCCATGTCGCCCTTTTTTGGCATCGGTGGCGGGAGTGGCAATCAACGAGGCCATTGCTCCGTCACGTTGCGGTGCTTTGGGGCCGGACCCAACGGTGCCAGGCGCTGTGCAAGTGGAAGCAAGTCATGGAACCTTTGCGAGCCTTGGCGTGGGAACTGCACCGAAAGACAGCGCACCACACGACATGGGGAATGTGGAAGCTGTGGCGGGCACTGTTCATTCGACAATGCCATCGCGCACGATCGCAAGCTGCCGTCAACGCGATGATCGAGCTTCTAGCGCAGGCTGGAGAAGCGCCGAGGCTGGTATGCATGGCGGTCATCAACCGATGGAAATGCGTCGTCGCATTGCGAGGATTTGAGGTACGGCTCACCGCACTGCGCGCTGAATCGCCCTTCGTGGTCACAACTCAAATGACAATGACTAATTGTGCTCTGAAGCGATGGCGATACATGGCTGTTGTTCGCCGCACGGACCGATCCAACTCGATTCAAGCCCTGCACCACTGGCTCGCTCGTCAAATGAGCCTTCGGTTTGCCAAGTGGCGAGAGGTGCGTCCAAGCCGCTCTTGCGACGGACAGTAAGCAACGGCTATGTGTAGGTGGTGCGGCAGCAGCAGCAACGTCGTGCAGCCATCCATCACTTTGAACGGTCCCAACGCGCTCATGCACTGCGCCAATGGATGCAGTTCATCCAACGTCGCATTGTCCAGGTCGAACGAAAGCAGATTGCCACGCAGCATTGGGTCCAGTCCACTCGCCAACGTGCGCTGACCACGTGGGTGCATCGCAAACGCACGTGGGAACACTATCGACAGTCGGAGCAAACAATTCACGCGTCGGTCGTGCGCCGCGTCCGGGCGAACGGATGGGCTGCATGGATGGCACATGTGACGGGGCGACAAGTCCGGCGGCACCTCCTCGACTTAGTCCGTGCCTTTCGGTGCCAAGTCGTGTTGAAAAGAGCCATGCAATCCTGGCACCTCGTGACAAGAACTCTCGCGGATGCCCGAAGTGCCCTTCAAGCCACGGTGCTTCGGCTAGAAGTCCTCATCCAGCTTCCGTGCCTCCGGTACGTCAGCCCTCTTCCGAGCATAGTTCGACCAAACTCGGTGTTCATTAGAGCATGGCGAAACTGGACTTGCGAGCGGCAGCGCCGCCGCCATGCCATCCAGGTAATCCGTATTGTGACGAGCGGCACGATGCCAGTTGCTGCAATCATGGAGTTTTCACTGACTCAACCACTCCTCTCTAGGCTTTGGAGCGTAGACGAAGGTGGTCGGTACTCCACGTGCAATTTCACTGGTGGCGCACGACCGCGCGATCTCAGCAGATCATTCGCCACCGATGGCAATCCTCGCGCCGTCGCTACCAACTTGAGCGCGGAGTTCGTACGTGCTTTGTTCCATGAGTCTTGCCGAAAGCTATGCTGTCGCTAACGGCTGTGACCTGCCAGATGCGCTTGTACAACATCGCGAGGTCCGTGTGGCCCATCGTGTGGCGCGGGATATTGCTCGCTCTCACGCGCAAGTAAAGCAAGATCGATGGTTGTGGAAGTTGGTGTGTTTCTGGTATCTCTGGGCACGGCGCCAAAGCGAAATGCGTGTCGCGGATGCGTTTGCCACCCATTGCCACATCCAAAGATGGCGGCGGTGGACGGTGGCCACCCAAACGATTCACACCAAGACCCACCACATCGTACGACTCAAAACGCCATCATCATGCGTCTTTGTAAGGCAGAGGGCGGTAGATAAACAGGTGGACCACGGGAACCATTCGGCGTGTCTTTCGTACGTGGAATGGCTACCTTAAGCGCCGTCGACTTGTGCTGACGGCGCTGCAACAAGTGCGCCAGTCCACGGTGAAAGTGGCGTTCGCAGCATGGGTCGGCTACCATCATGGGCGACAGAAGCGGTTGACCAAGAGCATGGCACTACTGCGTGCCTTCTGGGCTAATGTAGAAGCCTCAACATTTCGACAGTGGCAGGCGTTCGCGCGACGTCGCACGCGGTACAATTTGACAAATTGCCGTGTCATGACCTTCGGTATGATTGCTAGCGTGCGAGCAATCCGGCTACCGCAAGAAGGTCCATGGGTGGTGATGAAGGCGTGGCGAGAGTGGCGGGCGATTTTTCGTGCCCACGTTGCCGGTCGCAAGGCGCAGTACCGCCGTGTTTGGCGTGATTGGCAACACGTGGTCGCGATGCAGAAGCGCAAGGTGCAGATGACAGAATTTGCCGAGCAAATGGCGCAACGACGGGCTATACATCGGTGGCGCTGCTTTCACTGCGAGCAAACAGCTCTGGCGGCGCATCAGTCGCGTGCGTTGCTGTTCTTGACTGGTCGAACGGAAGCAAAATTGTTTTTGAGATGGAAAGATTTCACGACCCGCCAGCACCGCTGTCGCGAACACGTCGCCATATTGTCAGGGCGTATTAGTGCACGTGAGGTAGGTTCCATACGGCGCGATGCAGCTCCCTGTTCTCGCGTTTGAAGGCCTCATGGGCTGCAACTGCGTGTAGTTTGAGGAGGTGGCGTCAGCGTGGGTGGCGCATTTCCGAATGGGTCAACGCCGCAAGCAACGTGTGGCTGCTGGCATTGTACGAACGCAGCAGCGATGGCAGAAGCGTGCGATCGCGGACTGGATCGCCTTCGTCTCCAACCAGACCCACCACTCGCTGCAACATGGTACGTCCAAAGGTGTTACATTCGTGACAATAATGCCCTGCCGCAGATCTGGCATGGCAATTCCGAGCGCAAGCTGTCGTGCTCCGATGCTTCCAGCGCTGGATTCGCCACGTCTTGGAGCAAAAGGTGCTGCGGGCCAAGTGCACCCGCGTCGGCCATTTAATCATGGGGCACGTTGTCCAGCGCCTGTTTATGACGTGGCAATCCCACAGCCAGGCAAAGTCGATGGCGCGGAAACGGTGTAAACTCGCCGCGTCGTTATTCCAGACGAATTCGTGCCGATACGTGTGGGCGGTGTGGACGAAGAGGCTGGCAAGAGCAAGGTGGCGTAAGTGTGCCCATGCGATGGCGGCGCGACACCTTCTTCTCGCGCATTGGCGACAATGGATGCACCATCATGTTGCAGTCAAGGTCAGGACGCTCAGCCCGTTCGTGCCATGGCTTCTCACGCCATAGACAACATGACAGGTTATCCATTTCATGGGGGCGGCTTTGCGCCACCAATCTGCCCAGTGCTTCAAGCGTTGGTTCTTGTACACCCGCCAAGTCAAGTACGTCGCTCGTCCTGTCCACGAATGGCCTTGTGATGTTGACGACAATTTTTCTTCGGTGGCATGTCGTGGTTGCCATGCTGATGGTTATTTGGTTGCAGGAAGCAAAGAGTTATTGTGGACACTGCATTGAGTCGCATGGGAATGCTCTCCCGCAGCCGCGTGTTTCAAGCGTGGAAGCGCCAAGCTTGGCTGATGGCGACTAACGCGCATCTCATCTCGCGCTGGTACACCAAACTGGCCATTCATGTCTGGGCTGCGTGGCGTCGTTACACTCAGCGAGGCATCGCCGCCGCAGTGTGGATGGAGCGCCGGATGCATGTGCACCAAACCGTGCGTCGACAACACTGGGCATGGTGGCGGCAAGTGTTTGTCGCATCCCACCATCACCGCTTGCGCACGACGCACGTCATTCTGGCACAATGGCGAGCAGTGCTGGCAGCTCGTCATCGAGCTACGTTGATTGTGTTTAGAACACGAGCAGCCACGATGAAGCGTCACATGCGGGTGGTACTTTTGACGTGGCATTCCCACGTGGCTCTCGTGAAAGCGGCACAGCGACAGTTGTTACAGGCTCATCGGCGCGACCAGTGGATCGCCAGGATGGACCGCGTGCGAACCAAACGAATGGCCCACACGCACTGGCACGAATGGGTGCGATACGTCGCCGTTCGGTCAATACACAAGGCGCAATGGCGATCCGCGTGGGCCACGCGAATGTGTCGTCGAGTGTTCAATGGATGGCTGGCACGTAAAGTTGCCCAGAAACGTTTTCACCACGCGTACCAACGTCGCTGTGCGCGGTTGCTGGCCGATGCCGTTGGCGTGTGGACCCATTGGGTGCGCGACCACGGTTTCTACCGAGCCATGGCGGTTCAAGCGACTGCGTTGAATCGCCACCACGTTTTGAAGAGGCGATGGCAGCTCTGGCACTCGAAAGCTCTGCAAGCCACACGGCTTTATGCCGTCGCAAGAGCTCGTCAACTGCGGACATGCCATGCCGTGTGGCATGGCTGGTTGGTCTTTGTTCAGATGGTCAGGCAAACGCGGCATGCCTTCGAGTATGCACGACTACGCCTCCTCGGGCAACGAATGTATCAATGGCTAGCGTTCCTTCGGTTCGGTCGACGATTATGCGCCCTCCAAAATCGTGTCTGGTCTCATCGACTTTGCCGCATCGTGCGGCTGTGGGCGCGCCATCGAGACACACGAATCACACGTCGCCAACATCTCGTGGTCGCGAAGAAGCATATGGCGAGGTGGAACAAACGTGTGGCTGTGGTGCATTGGACGAGCTTGCGGCGACAGAACGTCCATCGTCGAGCCGCCAGGGCGTACCGTCTGCGCCAGATATGGCGACGGTGGCGAAGCGTAGTCATGCTCAACTTTGCCGATCGATTTTTCGCCAAGACGACGACGCAGCGCTGCTGGACATCGTGGCAGCACCTGGCCAAGGCAGCCGGGTGCTTGAGGAGTATCGATCGACTGCGGCGGCGACGCCACATGGACCAAGTGTTTCGAACATGGCACGCCAAGGCAAAGGCGCGCCAGATCGGAGCGCAGGCTACGGTGTACGGCACACTGAAAGCACAACAACGGTGCGGAGAAAGGACTTGCACATAGCTTTCCTCACGACCATCCATTAGGGTACTCCTGACGTGGCGAGCAGCGACTGAAGCGCAAAAGCGATATGCAGAGTACGTCAGTCCGCATAGGAGTAAACGCGGATTGATGGCGCGGGTAGGGCGATGGCTGAGACAGCGACTCGGCGTGGATACGAATGGCACCTGCGGACGAGATGGCGGCAGTGGCGGGTCTACTGCGCACATGCGAAACGGAGGCGCGCCAGGCTGAGCAATCACTTGAGTCGGTGGTGCGTGAAGAAACAAGCAAACGCGCTGCGCACGGTATGGCGAGCGTGGAGTGATGTGGCAAGACGACGGGCAACGTTGCGCATGTTCTTGAAGCGCCATCACAGGGCCGACTTGTCGGTGGCGTGGACGGCATGGGGGGAGTGGCGGCGCCGTAAGCGAGCCCAAGTCGTGGACAAGAAGTTGTCCGACACTCACTTCGGCGAGTGCATCCAGCGGAAGGTTTTCTATCAATGGCATGCGTACGCGGCCGCATGCAACCACCGCCTTCCTGCTTGACGCGGCAGAATTCCCGTCACCACATTGTACTCAGTATGTGGAAAATATTTTGATCCAACTAGAGTACTAGTATTCTTGAAATATTTCAAAATCTATATATATTTTCTGATGAGTGAAGGAATTACAAGACGAAGCGAACGGACGCGGTAAGATGGCGTGTGGAATGACCCCCGAGATCGCAGAGATGCTGGCAAACGTGGCCAAGTATCAAGAGGAAGGGAAGAAGATATCGGCGGAAGAGTATTTGGCTCAGGTCGAGCATTCCAAACAGGCGCGCGAGCGGTACGAAGCTGTCCAAGCCAAGCTGGAACGGGAGCGGGGGTACGACTGGACTCGCGAATATGAGAGGTGGAGTGCGTGGGAAGATCCTGACGAGCTCGCTGCGAAAGAACATGCGGCGAGGGAAAAGTCCGAACGGGCGAACGCGCGTACATCATGCAACCACGATCATTCCGCGGAGCAAAAGCTCATGGACATGTCGACACGCGTCAAGTTGGATAAGTGCGACACATTCCGTCGACTCGGGAATCGATTCTTTGCGCATGGACAGTACCAGCGCGCAGCATACCACTTTCATCACGCGCTCGTCTACTTTGAGTACATCTTTGCCGATACGGATGCTGAACAAGACGAAGTATGTCATGGGCGTTGTCAGTGAGGACCTTTGCTCCATTTTGATCTGTTCCGTTAGATGGACGATTTGAAGAAGCGCACGTTACTCAATTTCGCGCTCTGTCGCATCAAGACGAAACACGTCGACCAAGCAGTCCTGCATGCATCGCTGGCTCTGAAGTTGGACGAGGACAGTGTGAAAGCGCTATACATTCGCGCAATGGGCTACCGCATGCAAGATAAGTTCGAGTTGGCCCAGGCCGACTTAGATCGCGCTCTGGCACTGGCACCACAAGATGCGGCACTCATTCAAGAGAAGCATGTCCTGGTGGCAAAAAGGGCTGCATATGCAGTCAAGAGCAAACAACTTGGAGTGGCCATGTTTGGAAAGGGGCGGTCCACCGCGATGGACAAGGCGCCTGCCAGTGCTCCATTCGACGATGGGCTCTCACTGGCCCTAGAGTTTCGGCAACCCATCGCCAGCTCGTTGAATGTGGAGTCGTTGGATTTCTGGCAGCCTTCAACGCGCGGGAAAGACGCGCTGGAAGCATTGCTAGCCGACTGGACTCGCAGTGGTGAGATTGCTCGACAGAATGCCCCGAACTCGTCTCGGCGGCCGTAAGCGTCAATTGTGCCTGTGCAAGATCGAAAGTGTCGAATGCCATCGTGTGTGTTGATTTCAACCAATGAAACGCTGTGATTCAAAATCACATAATTTAATTGGAGAAAAAGCATTTTATATATAGCGAATCACAACGAACACAAATCACGTCCAGCTAGTTCATCGGCGCTTGTACTCGCACGCCTACAAGACAATGACAAGTGTGCCGACGTGGGACGGCGACGCACCTTCATTTCAATCTGGACGCCATCTTTGGGGACGCGCTTGGCCTTGACAAACTCGAACGTGACAAACATCTTGTTGTTCTCGTCCTAACGAAAGGGGAAAAAGCGTTGGAGCAGGCGGTGCAATGGCATGCGGGTGTGGGATGTTACCTTGTGTTTCAAGTCGAAACCGAGGTTTTGCATGGCGCTCACAAAGCCCTACTCGATGCAGTCAATACCCACTCGTATTTGAGGCCATGATAGAGCTTTGTAAGGGTGGACCTTGATGCCGCCCAACGAATCCGTCTCGAAGCGGCTCTTCACTTCGGCAATTTTGACGACACCGTGCACCTTGAGGACTCGGCGACCTTCCAGCAAGTACTCAACCAAAGTAGACCCCATCAGCGCCAAGCAGTACACCGCAATGTCGATCGATTCATCTGGCAGCGGGACCTAACGCGGCATTGGCAATGTTCAGAGTCAAGTTGAGCGGGAATGAAGCTAACAAGAAGTAGCGTACATGGGCAATGTTGCAAGCGACGACGCTGGGGTTGCGCGACACTAAGTCAAACGAGTGCACGGTGTTGGTGACACTGGCGGCCAGGCGCGCATCGCCGCAGCCAAAGTCCGCCACTACTGCCTTCGGGTGCAGCTTGACGTACTCGATGAACGTGTCCAAGGGGTTTGCTGGCCACTTCTCGGCCATTTCTCGGAACCCTTCGTGGTACTAATGTACAACATGGCGAGTCAAGCAGAGGCCGACGATAGTGGTGAAAGCATACCGTGTCGAACAAGTCGGGTTCGGCTTGGAACGACTCGAAGGCTTCTTCACCCGTCGTTGTGTACAGTTGTTCGTTGAGCATGCGGAACTTGCCGCCTTCCAATCGCTTCTTCATTTGTTCCTGCATCGCGGACAGACCAGACGCGCTCTTGCCCTTACCGGCCTTCAGGCTGTGTACAGACTGCTTGGTCACTGCAGGTGCAGCAGCGGCCGCGGCCTTGCTCTTTTGAAGCTTCTTCTTGGCCACCTTCTTGGCCGCTTTGTTGGCGCTAAACCCACGCACCGACGAGTCCCGTTGCTTCTTTTGGTTCTTCGACTTGGTCATGGTAAAATGAGGCGGTTCACCTGCTGGCATGACCACACCAATCGTTTCCAGGGATTTCCATGGCTACTAGTTCTCGTTATTTTGAATACTATTGAAAATGGGGAGTAGTAGGTACTAGTACCATCCACGGACAACTAAAAAAGTTAGTACAACTCTGACAATGGATAAATCTGTAATATCATGCGACTTTTATTTCCTCCTGTCAATTACTACGTTAGTATTTCCTGGAGACGAGTGAAGGGAGGAGGTGCAGCATAGGGCTGTTTGGTCACTTTTGCGAAGTGACGGTAAAGCCCGATGCACGTGGAAGTGCTGCGTGATCCACTGAGCACGCAGCAGAAATGCGATCGCATCAACCACCACCAGAAAACGCCTCTGAGCAAGCAAAAGTCGAGGAGTTATAGTTAGCAAGATATGCGTCATGATGCCTCCACCAGGGTCCATGTCACTCATCCTAGTATAATTTCTCTGTGGGGTGTTGTTAACGTTATAGGAAACTGTGACAGCTCGACCAAAGGTCAATGTGTTGAAAACCACACGTTATCGTGTGGTGAAGGATGAGCTGCACTGGAATGGTATCTGGGTTGCAGAGGGTATGGTTGACGAGGGCTGCCAAACACGCCGGCGGTCGAGGCTGGCATGCCAGTATCACCAGTGGACAGAACGAAAGTGTTTCGTAGAGTTGTGTCGATGCTGCGAGCCACTACCCGAGGGATTGACCGAATAGCATACATGTACCATGGCACTCCCTGATGTAATCTATTGGATCTATCGGAGCACTTGATCGCATCCGTAAAGCGCAATGCCCTTGACGTCATCCAAACAACCCCCGTCTTCAAACTATTGTCCTGGTCTCTTGACGAGAGCGATTGTTTGCGCCAAAATGTGGAGATGCCAACTTCACAAAGTCAATTGGCATTTGGAAAATTGCACAGAAATGAGTCCGAAATGCAGTAAAATCTCTGCACGAGCACATGCAGGAGGAAGGCGCTCGTTGTGCCTGGAACGAAGCCCGCTACCGCATGGATGCACATGCGGCCGAATGTCCAACGATTGTAGCAGGTTAATGGGGCCAAGCTTGGATGCTTTTGCAAAGTCACTCATCAGGACGCACGACCTGCACCCACTTGGAGTCACGTGCTCCGTTGACAGCCCCATCCCTCGGCGAATCGTTCATTCGACTTATTCCTCCAAGATTGGCATCACACCAAGCTTCCTGCCTGTGAGCACGCCCACGACAGCTAACAATACGACCGACGTAACGTGCAACCTCTCTGAAACGCTTTCGACGGTGGCCTTTCAACGTAGCAATGGATCGCACGACGGAGAAGCTTCGCTCCAAGCACGTTCGAACCCTCGAGTTGCTGCAGAAGACCCTAGATGAAAATGCCGAGATGAAAGACAAGCTGGCAGGTCTAGCCAAGGTCCCGTTGACACCATGTGTCTGTGGAAACATCATGGTGGTGTGGTGTCAGTAGTGCTCGTTGTCGTCGTCGTCGTTTCAGCTGAGTTTGGGCCAAGGCGTGAGTCTCGCAGACCGTCTCAAGGAGGCCGAGGTCGAGATTGAAAGGCTGAAAGTGCGGCATTCCGTTGCCGTACGTCCTCGTGACTTCGGCGATGGGACGCATGCATTGACATGGGACAGTAGCTGCAACAGCAAGCCGACGCAGCGGCCGAGTCGCTGCGTGCCGCGGAACTTCTCATCGAGCAGCACATGCTCGACAAAAAATTCAACATGACATCCAACGTCGAAGTCGCTCAACGTATACGCCAACAACTAGCAGACAAAGAGGCCGAGCACGAGACGGAGAAACGCCACCTTACCCAGGTCATCCACACGCTGCAAAACCAGGTGCAGGAGCTCCAGGCAGCGCAGGCAGGGGCAATCGTGCTGGCCGAAGCCAAGCAGCGCGCTGACGACAATGCTTCCCGATCCATGGAAGCAAAGCGGGTCGCCGAAGTTGAGTGCGTCCGGCTCGCAGACATGATTGAAAAGATGAAGAAGAACGAGTGGGTACGACAATATCTCGTTGATCTGTTTGCAGTCGAGCTGACGGAGTGATCGTAGGCATATGCTAGCCAAGTGGAATCGCTCAAGGCCCAAACGCTCGTCTTTGAAGCTGAACACACTCTCGTTTATCAAAAGCTAGAGACTCGCGACCGTCAGGTTCGCGCGGCTTCGTCACGTCGAACCACTCGTGAATTGTTTGCATTGCTAGATTGACATGATGCAAAAAGAACTCGCGGAATTGCGACAGAAAACTCAACTGAGCGAGGAGGCTCTACAAGTCGAGCTGCGCATGGCAGCACACCAGGCCGAGACACTAGCCAAGGCTCAGCAACGCACGATCGCAGATGACTCCCGCGCAAGTAACTTGCTGAACAACAACCACAGCAGGGACAGCTTGCACCAGTCCCTCGCGAGTACGTTTCGGCGAGTGCTTGAGCTTCCCATGGACTTGACGCCCTTCATGATTACAGGAGAAAACCAAGCCCTGCGAGACGAAGTCGCCCAACTCCGCGCCGACCTTCATAAAGCCAACGCGTCGAAGAGTGGGTTTGCCACCCACGTCGATCTGAAAAAGGAAAATTTTCTCCTGCGACAACAAGTCGAAGAAATGCAAGCGATCCAGAAAAAATTTCTTGGGTCGGCAAGGAAAAACAACCTCACCATGATGTCGTCGCTGAGCAATCAGCGAGGTTAAGTGCCCACAAATTCAGGACAGCAACGACAATGCTGTCATGAGTGCGTTCACGTGTACCAAACACCTGTGCAACATAGCGCGTGGCATGGAGCGGGGGAGACTCAAGAGTGAATGGGAGTCTCCTTGATAAGTTAGCTGGTTCCATCGACTGCCTCAAATGCCTTGTCATCACGCTGCTCGATATAGCCATCATCATCGCTGTCGTCGTCATCGACTTGTTTGCCTTGAAGCAATTTTTGGACGTTTTCATCAGCGGCACCTTTGTCATGGCTATGCTGTGCTTGAATTTCGAGGATTTTGCGATGGAAGAGCTTCAGGGCGCATGCACGGCACACGCGAAGTTTCACGAGGCACTGCTTCTTCTCCTTGTGTTCGACATACGCAAAAAGGACTTCGTAGCTTTCGAGTCCATGACTTGCGTCGCACTTTTTGTTTCCACACACGAATTGTCCTTTGCCATCGACAACTTCACGCTCCGTCCGCCACCGTAGCCCGACCTTTCCCTCCTTGTAGCGGCTGAAATCTGCCAACGCATACTCCTTCGAGAGCTTCTGGTAGTATCGTACGGCCATGCGCACTTTCCAGTCTTTTTCACCGTCAACAGCATCCACATCGTCGTTACGGAGGAACTGATGTTTCTCCCGCAAGATAGCTTCGTCCTCAGTCAGCCACTCGGCGGCAGTGGTCGACGAAGTTTTGGACCACACTTTAAAGTCTTTCATGTACGCTTTGTGTTTTTTCTTCTTTGCATCGGTGGAAGACTTCTTCCACCGATGCTCGGAGGTCTCATCGTCGCGGGCTCGCTTCCGTTCTGCCTTCGACATGGCAGAATATAGGGCTCCAGAATAACAGTATTGCAGATATTTTTATGATTTTGGGTATTTTCCACATTTTTTTGCTTTCCCCGAGTTACTTCTTTATGGCCCTGCGTAATCAGTAAGCAGCACTACTAATAACTGGTTTACGAGCTACAATTCACAAATTTATAGCCAAATTTTCTCCAGTTTTGAAGAAGTTGTTCAAACAGGGTGACAGTTTACACGCACAAGACGACAAATAAGTGGGTGGTGGGGTGTCCGGATATATCCGGCTCAAGGGACTCGTTTTATTGGTGGAAGGGAGGAGTACTCTTTGACATCCACTGCATTTTCACTTCAGATATCACGAACATGAGCATCGCGCCTCCGTCCGACATTACCCCCTCGGCGAAGAAAGCATGGGAAGAAAGCTCCGACTTCGCCAACTACTTTTGCACCTACGGGTTCATCTACCACCAAAAGCAAATGCTGTCCGACACGTTGCGCATGCAATGCTACCGCGACGCGATTTTCGACAACGCGTCGTGCTTCAAAGACAAGGTCGTGCTCGATGTGGGCACGGGTAGTGGTATTTTGGCGATCTGGGCCGCCCAAGCTGGTGCCCGACGTGTGTACGCTGTCGAGGCGACCGACATGGCCGTGCAGGCCCGTCGCGTCGTCGCTGCCAACAAGCAAGACCACATCGTGACCGTGATCCAATCCAAGATCGAAGACGTCACCCTCCCTGAACAAGTCGACATCATCATTTCGGAATGGATGGGATACTTCTTGATGCGTGAATCCATGTTCGACTCGGTGTTGCTCGCCCGTGACCGGTGGTTAAAGCCCGGTGGTGCGCTGTATCCGTCGCACGCCACCATGTACATTGCACCTCTTGGCATGGAACAAGCGGCGTTGAAGCGCTTCAATGAGTTCTCGAACGCCATGGACGAGTGGACGGTGTTTGTTCAAGAAACCAAGGACATGTGGGGTGTCGACATGTCGTGTCTCGGCAACGCGTTCCGAGAAGAACAGGAGCAGTACTCGCTCAAGACGTCGCAGTTCGTCGAATTGAGCGCGGAAGACGTGATTGGGGACGAAGCCACCATCAAGTTCCTCGACCTGAACAAATGTACGTTGGAAGATGTTGCGTCAGTCAAGTCGGATTTCAGCGTCACGTTCACCAACACAACTCGATTCGGCGCGTTCGGTGGCTGGTTCGACGTCGACTTTCACGGGTCGGAAGAGAACCCGGCCGTGTCCAAGGTCAAGCTGTCCACGTCGCCTTACGTTCAAACAACACATTGGGGCCAGCAAGCGTTCCCACTGTCGCCGATCCAAGTGTGCGAAGGCGACGTCGTCAAGGGCCACGTCGAAGTCGTCCGTCGCTCCGACAATCAGCGCCTCATGAACGTCAAGTTTGATTATCAAATGGAGTACCAAGGACAGTCCCGCGACCAACCCAAGCACTCGGCGATTTTCCAGGTCGAATAATTAACTTGAGCGACGATGAGCGAATATCTCACCTGACTTTGTGGTGGAACATTTGACATGCGCTCCGGATAAATCGAAGTTCCGGAATTCTTGAACTGACATGTGAATTGGATTTCGAAGTCAAGACAAGCCTTCACGGGGGTGTGCAACATGAGAAGTGCCGATGAATTGGAGGATGGTGAAGCGACGACAGTGTGGAGTGAGCGGTCACAAGCGATGGCTCTTGTTGGCATCGGCGTGTCGGCGCTTGTGGCTGCGGTTTTGCATGGCCAGTCAGCATCTGATGCCGACGATCGAGCAAACGAACGTGACCGCAATACGCGTCTTTCGACAATGTATCATCGAATGAAGGACATCCAAGATATGTATAACAAAGCAGTCGTGAACGACAAGCGGCTTGCTATCGCTCGCCGTCGCCGCGACAAATTTGTGCAACACTCGGTGGCATCGCAACGCGCGGAGGCTGCGCGTATCGTAGAGGGGTTCGAGATTCACCTCCATGAGTCGCATGCAAGGCACATGCAAGCGTGCATAGCGATGAAGCATGATTTCTTTGGTGCTTTACCCCAAACCTCTCAACCGACCGCATCTATCGACGACCCTCTTCTGAGCTTAAGCCTCAAAGATTCTCCTCCGATCGTATCCCTCGACGACCCACCTCCAACTGAAGAAAGCATGAACAAGACTCCTACCACCCGCAGCACCTATGATGCGTTGGTGTCGATCGCGCTTGTTTTGTCAGCACTGTCAATGTTTTTCTACCGCCTGTGTAAGCAGCGGCCGACAAGAAGATCCGACCACCGCAGTCGACGACAGACCGATGCATTCGAGAGCGATGACGACGTGGCTCAATCTTCTGGCAGCAGCTATAGTGACGACGAAAGTGGTGACGACGTCTTGCATTGAATTGTTGAGGACCATTGGATTCATACACACACAAACCACTCGTTGTACACACTCTTGCCAAGGACACCGTGCCATCAAACAGATCGATCTCGTAGTGACCAGCGAGCTTACGGAAAGGAGTTTGTCCGAAGTGGCGAGCTCGCGTTTTGCTGTGGTGGTGGCTATGTTTGCAAACCCATCATGCGGCTGATCCCGTGCCTTCATTGAAGCTCACTGCCTCCAAGATGTGAAATGCAGTCCCTTCCATGACCTCCGATGTAGTGCATGCTTGCGCTCTAGACGATGACGGCTAGACATGCTGCGCACTTCGCAGGCCTGAAGCGGTCAGTGGAATGCGTCAAAGCGTCAAAATGTCCACCTAAAGCGGTACTCGACAATGATTGGGTAATCCCGCCTTTCACGATGAAATAGCCAATGAAATCGAAGGATTCAAATTCAGTCCATCCATCCACAAAGTGCACGGGCAATCGCGTCATGCTCGGCACAGCACTGGCGATGGCCGCATGCCGTGGGTCCCAAAGGCTCTTTAGCACAAAACGTCTAGTTCAGAAGGGCGTTGTATCACCCCATCTCGTCGTCCCGGCGCACATTCCTCGACCGCCGTACACAACGAGTGCAGAAATGCCGCCGTTCCCACCTTTTATTCCCATCCTCGACAATGACGATCAACTGCGGCTACGAGAAGCTTGTGCGCTAGCACGAGACATTGTGCAGTTTGCTGGCTCGCTTGTAGAGGTTGGTCGCACCACGGACGACATCGACCGCGTGGTCCACGAAGAAATCTGCCGACGCGGGGCGTACCCGTCGCCGCTTCTCTACGGCGGCTTTCCCAAGTCGATTTGCACTTCCGTGAACGAGATTGTTGTCCATGGTATTCCAGACAGGTAAAAGGCGACATGCATCTCCTCTCTGCATTGAGTGACTCTCATTGCGAGCATGCAGCCGACCTCTCGAAGACGGCGACCTCGTCAACATTGACGTATCTGTTTTCTTGAACGGATTCCACGGCGATACATCGTACACGTATCAAGTGGGGTCGGTTGATGCTGCTGGCCAAGCGTTGATCGCCGCAACCAAGCGTGCCCTCGACGAATCGATTTCAGTTTGCAAGGCTGGCGTTCCATTCCACGCGATCGGGGCCAAGGTCCATGAAGTTGCCACGTCTACGTCGCACGGCATCATCCACGAATTTTGTGGCCATGGCATTGGTCGGACGTTTCACGCGCTGCCGCTGATTCTCCACTTCCCCAACGCGGAACGCGGTGAGATGCTGCCTGGCATGGCGTTTACGATCGAGCCTGCATTGTGCGAAGGCCAGAACGAGGTACGGGCGGCGCGCGCTCACGCATGCAAGAGATAGCGAAACTCACCGGTGGGATGCTGTGTATAGATCGTATACTGGGACGACGAGTGGACCGTCGCAACCGCGGACGGCAAGAGATCGGCCCAGTTTGAGCACACGATTCTCGTGACCGACGACGGCGGCTTCGACATCTTGACCTTATAATGCATGCCAAATAATCTACGATAAGAGATCGCAATGGCGACTTTAACGTGGCATGGTTGCCGTCGATGCTTGGAGGACGCCGTGCAGCTATTTGTGTCTCTGTGAGTGTGAAAAGTCGACATATCGACCAATTTCGTGTGCGCCATTGCTCTGGCGGCATGCAAGCACGTGGGGTCAGGTGTCGACAAAAAGCGTTGATCACTCACAGCATTAGTGCTTCCGTCGCTGGGCAGGGAGCGCACGATTCAATGACATGGGGCTATAGCCAGGACGGTGCAGGGGTCGTGTGCGCATGCATGCCGACAAAAGTTCGGCTTGGGCACATCCAGGTTCGAACTTTTGGCATGACAGACGTGGATCGAGCGTACGAGTCGCGAATATCAAAGTGATGACCATCAAAGTTTCCATGCATGAGGCGAGAAGAGTACGTGCTGCTAGTTTGTAGTGACTGTGGGTGAGTGCAAGAGGGCTAGCCATGGTCATCCGTGGCTTCGCTAAGGTTTCAAGTGTTTCAGGTATTGGTAGACATTCGGTCGCGCAACGTCGAGTGGTCTCCGTCAACACAATGGAGAGGTCCTTTCATTGGTATCGGTTAGCTTTGCACTGGCAATTGCAGTTTGACGTCGAGGGGCTTCAAACTTGGGGCGGCCCCAGCGATACTGAGCCACGCGAGGCCATAGTACGAATGGAGGACGTCGGGGTAGACGGCGGGGAACTTGGCGACGCCGCCATGTTTGTGTTGACAGGACAAAATGAAGCGCTCGCACGATGGAATGTCCACGAGGCCGTGGTGCCCCAGCAGATGTAGACTCGCGCCGTTCCAAAATGCATAACACGTGTCGGGGTCCTTGTTCGTCCGGCCTTGAAAGCCATGCTGTTGCCGCATGAGCAGCCAATGTTGCAACTGCGTCAAGTCGAACGTGGCTTGGACAAGGCGGCCACTGAGCACGAGGGATGCGATCCCGCAGTAAGTCACGCCGCCTTGCGCTTCGAGGCCTGGATAACTCCCCAACCCTCCTTCGTAGGTCTGTCCGTGGATGAGTGCATCGTGGGTCGTTGTGGAATCACACACAGAACGGCTTACCGCACATGCACTGACAAATCGGACAACCCCATCGCGATCGACACCACTCCAATCTCCCAACATGTGCGAGATCGCACACGCGCAGTAGACAAATCGCATATCTTCTTCGGTTCCAAGAGAGCTCGCCATGAACCTATCACACAAACAAAACATGTCGACAAGATTCACGGCGACTAGGTGCGGCAACGGAGAGGTAGGATGGCTAACCCTCCTGTGACTGGATTCTGGAGCGACTTGAGCGACTGCACGATAGCAGCCTTATTGACGCGGGCCAAGTTGTCGCCGAGCGTTTTTAAAATCGCGAGTGCAGCGTAGGTGCTGGCGATGTGGGCTGCGTCGTACGTCGTGCTCTCGTATTCCTTCGGTCCCTTGAAGAAAGCGTTTCCAAGCCACGTTGATCCACGGAAACCGCAATCGGCTGCATTGATAGACTTGTCCCGGCTGTCGGGGTGCACTTGCAGTGCGTACACGAAGTCGATGATGGCCTTCTTGTCCACGCGATCCAGCTCACCGAGTAGAGCGAGTCCTTGAACGCAGAAAAACAATAGGACAACGCGATGATGATCCTGTCGTGCGTATGGCTCGGGCAGCTGCCGCAGGTTCCGGAGGAAGTACATCACGTGCGATTCCTTCTCCATGTTGCGATCGATTAGCGGCCAGACGACACTTCATAATACAAACGTACGATTGGTTGAAATACCTGAACTCCATAGAATAATCAAATCTTATTGGTTGAAAAGGTTCGCACCATTTCCGATTTTGCTCGATGAAGGAAAACTTGAAGGCAGCATGCACCGACTACGCAGGACAAGTGTTTGAGCGGAACCACGTGACCCAGGCGCTGGAGGAGCGCATCGCACTTGCCATGTACAAGATCGACGAGGCGTCGGCGTTGGTGGATGCGCATGTAGACTTGGAAATGGATGACGAAACCCGCGAGTCCATCGCGTTGCTTCTCCACCGCAGCGAGTTGTTGCAGCGGCAATTTCGCGCGATCGACCACATGGAGCGGATAGTAGACGCCATGGCTGCTTCAACGAAACAGATCCAGGAACGCATGGAGGCTGTGCAGAAACATGCCGAGCCCATTTTGAACCCCACGCAGATTTCAGCAATGCTCAAGCGGACGTTGGCCCTCGGACGCAAGGTGTGCTTTGGAAAATGTCCATGCTGTCACGTGGTCATCGTGCGTTGTGTAGAAAGCAAGTAGTTCGGGTGATACGTCCGCTGTGAACACTATCGCATGGGAACCTGTCACGTTCATTCCAAGCACGTCAACGTGTATGAAGCGACTGGACGAGATCATGGCGCACAGACCCGACGAGATCGCCGCGGCGTACACGACACCTTCCATTTCATCGACTGAAATTGATAAAGCAGTCTGATGGACACGACGGGTGCAACAGGCTTATTCCCTTATCGCAATCAGGGCACACGGGGTAGTACGGCAACGTGATCTAAATGTGAACGAAGGAACTCTCGTTCTCAAGCTGTCCTGCACGTGCCTTCTTCTTCGGCCTCCATGATGATTCGATGCATACTGGAAGGGGTGGGTGGGAGCGACGGGGGTTGCTTGAAGTCGAAGCGGGACAAGCGCTTGTGTCGTTCGCGGTGCCATTTTTGCCACCTACTACCAGGTCAAGATCGTATTCTTGTGGGCTTGTCGAGTTAGTTACCGCTTTCGGACTGCTTTGAATCGAAGACGATGTTGTCGGAGGAGTTCTTCTGGTGCAATGTTGTCGCACGAGTTTATGAGCACGGCCGACAAGGCCGAGTTCGGAAACGGGACCTAAGAACGAATGACGTGACATCAGTTTGATAGTAACGCAAAGGAGGGAGCTCGCGGTATACCGGGGACATGCTGAGGCGTTTATACTTGAGCGGGGACACGATCTACATGAACGCATGTTGGTTCAGCACATTATTCGACGACGACTCTTCGACGACACCACCAACCAACAGCTCGGTTGTACCTTGTGCGGCGGCGTCAGCAACTGGAGTTGGGACGTAACGTTGTTGTTGGAAGCGTTGGTCGTTTTCGCCGAATTTTGAACTGGAGTCGGCGGTCGACTGAACGTGAGCAGCTGATGCGCCAAGTGCAGTGTGTCCGAGTCCAAGCCCGTCACGGGCACCATCTCTCTCGTCTCTGCTGCTGTCTTCCTGCGAACAGGTTGTATTATTGCGCGGGGCTTGCTCTTCATGCGTCTCTCGAGCGATCTTTTCCCAGGCGGCCACGTTCGGAAATGGCCTCTATTTGAATTCCACGGTAACGGACTCGGCAAATGACATTCCTCGGCATCTTCGATTCCCGGGCAAAATTCATATTGGGAGGCCACCGGATAAATTTGAACTTCCCGCGACAGGATTGGCTGTGTTATCCGGAATGCCTCCGCACGAACCGGCGCGGCGGTCGCGCAGCACACTACTTGCACGCGTGGCAACGAGACAAGCATGTAGATCCACACAGGGATGGACGCACACGTGTCGACGGAAGCGAATGCGCCCCGGAAGTGGGCATAACTTTTTGCGAGTCAAAAAGGTTGGTCTGCCCCATGTGGCGTCGCTGCCGACACAACGATTGTTTAATGTGTAGAGGTGAGAAAGTTGTCGGGCAAGCATTTTCAGTTGGATAACTTCGCCGACAGGACGGCGGCGACGACGACGGCGCGTGTAGGGTACGACCGAGCACCGCGTCTAGGAGGGTGTGCTGCACTAACGGTTTCACGAGGTCAATTTGGCACTGCCATATTTAGCAGAGAGAGGGTACAACGGATACAGGCATTGCCATGGAGGACTGCGTCGCGCGAGGTGGCATCTCTCACGTCCTCGCGCAGGTGAGTCTCGTGCTTCGCTGACGTGGAAGATCACCGGAGGGTTTGACATCCTATATGGTCAGGCGCGGGCGTCCCTGAAGCATCCATCTCGGCCGTTCACACCAAAGACAGGGAGTACGAGACCATATGTCGGCATCCCTTGCTAACGCTCATTTGGTGAGATGTAGATCGGCCACTCTTTCATGGCGACGACTACCGCCCCGGTTCTCGACCCAGCTCGACGTACTCGCAGGATGGAGCGGAGTACACCAAGCCTCAGAGCCCTCAGGTGGCGTCGTCGGTGACAACACACACAGTCACAGGTCGGCGTTCCTCATGTCGACGCCGTGGGAGTGACCATCGCACCAACGACGATGGTGACAATGAAGGAGGCGGAAACGATTCAGGTGAGCTGTCATGCCATGGTCCAAACCAATCGAGTGCATCTGGGCGTGAAGACAACCAAGGTGCGGATGCGGCATCACGCCCGTCCAGCGTGTTGGCAGCTGGCCCGACGTCCCCGTTGTGCGACTCGGCGCGGTCTCAAGTGGCGCCTGACGACGACGACCACGATGCTAAATCGCGCTTCGACGAGTTCAAGGACCAAGAAGACGAAGTCGATCCCTCTTGCTACGCCACACCAGTGCGTCGACTCCCCGTCATGGCCATGGTGTAACATGTCCAATTTTGTAGGAGTCCCTGCACATGACGCTACTTCAACTTCAGTTGGCTTTGCGTGACGTCGAGAATGGCCATGCTGCCGCCACCTCCTTTGGCGCCGTCAAGAAGTGGACCAACCAACTCTTCCACGATGTCCACCTACTTCGCCATGACGATGGCGGCTCACGCGCGTCGACATCATCTTGTAAGACTACCTGAATCGATAATGCCGTGCTATTGACGCGTTCATTGCAGCCGCCGCTGTTGCTACGACCTACGCCGCGTGCCTGACGCAGCTCTTAAGCCTTGTTGAAAAAACGGCAGAAGATCACATAATTGGACTCGTCCATGCGGCCATGCAGGTACAACTAGATGAAAGGACATGACGTCAGGATGAACGTGGATTGCACAGCTATGGGCGTGTCATTTGTCGCCTGGGACCCACGACAACCAACACGGACGCCTCCTCGTCGGTGCATGCAAGCGGCTATTCATGTTGAGCAAAGATCCGGTCAATGACGACCGGTTTTGCCACGTAGCAGTCGTCGAGACGCTGCTGGGGGTATTTTCAACCAAGATCTCGCACGGGGTGCCCACCCAAGTCCTCATTTACGTTGCTGGCGCCCTGAAGAACGTGTCGGGGTCCTCCAGAATGGTCACTTTGCTCGCCACGAACGGCGCAATTGGCATTTTCGCCAAAGCACTCGAGGTGCGGCGTTGATACCTATTGGCGGTGATCGTGCTAGTTCCCAAGCTATTCTCGTGCATAGGTAACGTTTGACAAGGACGTGAACGCGGCGGCACAAGTTCTTGTCCAAGTCACTGCAATCCTGCGCAACCTGGCCGAACACAAGCAATGCCTCAAGCAGTTTTGGCATGCCCAAGTGATCCAAGCGCTCTGTGACTTGCTACCGACCTACTCATCGCACGGCGAGCTCGTACTGAATGCTTGTCGCGTGCTGAGCAAGCTCACCTTGCACGAAGCTGGGCGAACTCAAGCCAACAAGGACGGCGACAACCTGCGCCACTTGCTGCATCTGCTCGACGGTGTCACTTCCTCCCGGCACCACGACGCGGCGCTTGTCATCCGCCTTGCATTCATCCTCGGCAATCTCACTGCCACCAACGATCGCAACCGCAAAGCCATCTACACGAACGGCGCGGTCCCGCACCTTTTGCGCCTGTTGAAGGAATATCACATCCGGTATACGGACAAGCATCCGGATAATGCTTCCAATGCGACTGCGGAGGACGTTCTTGTCAAGTTGGTGCGGCTTCTGGCGAATGCCGCGATCCACGCGTCCGTGGGGCCGACACTGGGCTCGCTACCTGGTATCGAAGTCCTAATTGATATCCTCGACCATGCGAAGGCAGAGAGACATGAAGAGCTGATGCTGAACGTGGTCAGCTGTCTCACCAACTTGTCCTTCTACGCGACGGAAGCAGCGGCCACGAACGTCATCACAGTGCACCGCCTTAGGTTATCGCGCGATTTGGCCAGCATTCTGGTCGATCCAAATGACGAAGCAGTTGTGGAAGCCACGCGCGCGTTTGGGAACCTCAGCCGATTCCCCGACGTTCTTGGTACAATGCTCGCCACCGACTCGACCCTTCTACCCACGTTTGTCATGCTTCTCGACCACGCAAACCGAGACGTTGTCTTCACCGTGTGCGGAGTTCTCATGAATACTGCGCTGGATCAACGCACTCGTGGTCGATTGCACGCTATCTCGATCCCCATCTCTGACAGCGACACTTCGATCGTGGACACACGTGACTTGCTCGTCGGTCTCTTTCGCCACGCAGGCCTCAAGGACCTCGCGATGAGCACGATGGTGTGCAAAGTGCTATTCAACCTAGTTCTTTCCGCTCAGTCGAAGACGTCTTCGGAAGTTGCGTATGTCGACACGCCTACCGGTCGATTGCTGTTGTCGACGTTGGAGGAACTCGTTGATGCCATCGCCGACTCGGTGACTGAAGCGGAGGTCGAATTTGCCAGCGTCGCACATGCACTCATGCGGAGTTTGGTCAAATAGAGTGGGGCATTTGCATGTAATATCAAGGAACACCTCGACATGATATCAGCCACTCATCCCGCATATCCCTGCGCTGCCTCTATCATGGCCATCGAGTATTTCAGCAGGAGGCTTCAGACGGCCCAACATGGCGATCTTGATCCATTCGTTCATCGACAGGTGCAACACGGCTTCGCCACTGCTGCCGCTTCAACCTTAAGCGCAAGTTAGTCCTTCTAACTGGCGCCATGCAAGCGAGTGCGAACGACGCGCTGTTCCAATTTACAGTGGTCAACATCATCGAGGGAAAAAAAGGCCAAAATTTGATCAAATCAACACAAAATCATCTCAAATTTCGTATGTGGATAGTATTATCGATAACATACAACATTTGAGATTTACGAAACATAAATAAATATCCGGATAGAATCTGGTATGTTGGGGCAACCCTGCACTTCCCAAAAATTGCAAAGCAAGCCATGTGTGGCCAAAAACGCAAGCATGCGGAACGTCAGGACGCAGCGGAGCCTGGAGATGATATAATTGCATTAAGGGTGGTAAGCAACACCAGGAAACAGTACGAGACAACACTTGCCCGCTTGGCTCGATGGTTGGAGCAAGAGGCACCCCTCTTGTATTGAAAATGGCACCATAGTACTGCCGTTGAGTGTGTCAGTGTGTAAAGCATTGCTGACGTACTCGACTTTCAAACGAAATCGCCAAGGAGTTGAGCTCGTAC